CCGGCGCCTGTCGACTTCCTGCGGAAGCAGAGCCAGCTCCTGCGCTCCCGGGGCTCCAGCCAGGCAGAGCGGGATGGGGGGCCCCCCTCAGCACCCCCTGGCTTTTCCCGGACCAAGCCCCGCAGCATCAGCCTCAAGCTGGAGGGTGAGGAGTGAGGGTGGCACAGCCATGTCCCCCTTCTGCCACATCCCTGATTTCCCAGCAAGGAGCACCTGGGGACAGAGCCAGTGCTGGGCCATGAGGCCATCGCAAGGAGATGAGGGTGCTGGGTCTCCTGAGACCAGGGGGTGCTGGGAGAAGGCTCAGAGCTCCCCAGAGAACCAGAGTGATCCCCTCAGGGCACAGCCACCCTGGGTCCTCCCTGCTGCCCCCATCCCCTCTGGTCCTTTGGGGCCGTTGGGCAGTTCCCAGTGGGGTCTGCACCCCAGGGTCGTTATCCCTGTGCAGAACTAGGGGCTGTGGCTGTGCCCCAGAGCGAGTGGCACCTCCCCACCTATTTATTTCCGTCTGGTGTCACTGCGCAGGGCTGGGTTGGGGTTCCAGAGTGGTTCCTCTGTTCCCCCCACCTTCTCGTTTCGGTGTTGAATAAAGAGATGTTATGACAAGGTGCCATCACCCACGAGTCTGCTCTGTGCCTGTGGCTGCAGGGTTCCCACCCACTGGGAAAGCCCTGGGGAGCCTCCAGGGACACCATGTCTCACATGGAGATGGCTGTGGGGCACAGCAGTTGGGTTACAAGCAATTTAGGACAGGGAAAAGAGCCTGGGGTGTGTGGGCTGTGCTGATGCTGATACCCTCCCCCTCTCCAACTTGGTTTCCCCTCATTTTACCTCTAGCAGCAAATTTTTGTAGTGACCAGGGGGTGTGACTGGTTTTACTTGACTTTATCTTGGCATAGCATGATCAGAGATTTATAGAGATAGCAGGAACAAGCTGTTACTCTATATAAAATATTCTTGACACTGACATGACAAGAGGAGACACTGGTTTGGGATGATAGCAGCAGCCTGGATAAGTGACAATGGCGTGGCACAGAGAACAGGCATGAATGGGTTGGAGCTGAGGCTCAGTGCTGCCCTTCCATGGCCACCATAAAGTATAAAAACATCAAATAAGTGATAAAAGTTGGCAGGAAGCAGCAGGCTCTAGTCACCCACGTATCCCTGCTGTGACGATGAGCCCTGGCTGTTGTCCCCAGGCCGTGGCGAGCTCCGGGGCCATTTCCACTGACTTCAAATAAGTAAAATCTGTATTAAACATTAATAAACATCCATGACCATTCCACATGTGGAATATCTAAAAGAACCTGTCCCGAGAGCACTGGGCTCTCCCTTGCAGCCACAGACTCTACTGGGAGAAGATGCCCTTGAAGCGGATCTTGTCCTCGGCGTCCTTCTCCCGCAGCCGCGCTTCCAGGCTCCGCAGCTCCTTGGACACTACGGGGCGCAGCGAGGGGTCGAGCGCCAGGACTTTGGCAAAGTCAGCCTGCGCCTCGGCCACGTTCCACACGGCTGCGTGGGCCTTGCCCCGCTTGAAGTAGGCCTTGACATTGTCTGTGGGGAGAGAGCCAGCATCAGCGGAGGGTGGGGGTGTCCTGGTGCCCTCCAGAGCCACCTGGGATGGCTCGTGGCTCCTTACCCTCGTACTTGTTGAGGATGGAGGAGCAGTGATCCAGCACCTCGTAGTACTCCTCACACTGCAGCTTGCACTGGCAGTAGTTTAAGAGCAGGGGTGTGATCTTCTGGTCGAGCTCGATCCAGTCTGGAGAGCCTGGCTGCTCCTGTGGCAGACAGAGCAGGGAGAGTGAGGGGCAGCTCTCAAGCCCTGCATTCCCAAGGATGCCTGTGTGTATCTGGGGAGACCCACCTTCATCTGCAGGTTCTTGAGACAGGCGATGGCATCGTAGTATTTGGCAGCTGCCTCAGACACCTTGCCCTGCCGGTACAGCTCATTGCCTTCCTTGTGGATCTGGGGCACAGCCTGGAGCTTCTCCTCATCTGTCATGGCCCATGGGTCCTGCTGGTAGGAGCCGGGTGGCTCCACCTGCCAGCACCCCATCAAGGAATCAGAGAACAGGATCATGGAATCGTTCAGGTTGGAGAAGACCTCTAGAGTCCTCGAGTCCTGCACTGCCAAGGCCACTACTAAACCACATCCCACATGCCACATCTGTGTGTCTTCTGGACACTTTCACCCTGAGCTCCCCATGCCAGCACCTCACCTTCAGCACCTCGATGTCAAAGATGAGGGGCTGGGGGTTCTTCTGGAGCTCGTCGAGGTCGGGGTACCCCAGGGAGTAGTGCTCGTGCATCTGGGCGATGCTGCAGCAGTGCCGCTGCCCCTCCAGCGGGTCCTTCCCTGCTGCGATGTTCCGCAGGCTCTTGGACACTAGTGGGTAAAGCACCACGTGCTGCGGGAGGGAAGAAAGCCAGAATTTGAAGAGGGCGAGGGGAAAAATATAAAGATGCTCCAGCCTCGAACCGCGCGGCTGGAGTGCACCGGGGGCCCCGCAACCCGCGCTCACCACACAAAGTCACCGCCCACCTGCACAGACCACGCCCCGGACAGGTCCCGGGCCCGCCCACCTTGGTGTCGCAGCGGAAGCGTGCGCGCTCGCCGGGCCGCATGGTTCGCAGCGCCGCTTCCCACACGGGCAGCTTGAACTTTTTCCCGGCGATGAGCTCCATGGGCTTCCCCCGTGCCCTGCTGTCGTCCACCGGCGTCTCCTCATCGCCGCACCGCAGCGTCCGGTAGTGGAAAGTGGCCTGAAGGAGCAGGAGGAGCCCGCGGCGTCACCACGGCGACGCAGGCGGGGGAGGGCGCGCATGCGCGCCTGCCCCGCCGCGTTCCGCTTCCCACATCCCCCACCCCGCCCGTCCCCCCGCAGATCTGACCTTGGTGCCGTCGCGGAAGTCTGGCAGCGGCCCGGTGCCCTCCCGCAGCACCTCTTTGTCCACGCCGTCCGCCCGCAGCTGCTCGACTTGCTGCGCCATCGCGCCCGCTCCGCCCGCGCCGCCAGCCCTGGCTCGGCCGCCTCCGCCGCCGCTCGGTTCTTTCCGGATCGTCGCGGCTGCGCGGGGCTCCCCCTGCCGGCCCGGGGGTGGTGCTGCGGGGCGGGGGCTCCGGGAATGGGGCGCGGTCATAGGGAAGGGGGGCGTGTCCAGCAGGGCAGCCGCGCGCCCCGTTCCCACGTGGTTCTGGTTCCCGTCTCCCCCCATCTTTCTGGGGTGTCATTCCAGGAGACACGGGAGGCATTCCGGAATGAAACCTCCTGTGGCACTTTGCCACCTGCATGCAAAGGCCGCGGTGCAGAATGGGAGGTTGATAATGTGGCTGGCACCCACTGTGAAGGTTCCCGCCCGCCGCGGGGAGAGCTTAGCCGGATTGTCCCCTCCCGCCAGCCCCGGCTGGGTCTGCGAGCGGGCAGGAATGACAGGCAGCCTCATCAGCGCCGTGCGAAACCCTGGGGGAGACACCTCAGGGCTTAACAGGGTTTAGCGCAGCTCACGAGGTATCCTGGGGTGACACGAGAACACTGGCAGGTGGCAGGTCCCCAGTCCCATAGAAGGGCTGGTGGCTCATGATGGTTGTGAAAAATGCGTATTTTATGATTGGCTTTTCGCAAATATTAAAATGAATATTATATGTGTTGTGTTAGAAAGTAATACTGTATTTATTCTCTTAAGTAGTGTGTTAAATAGAGTTTTAGGGTATAAAAAATGTTAAAATAAAAACTATGCTATGTAGGATACTTTTTTTTTTGTGAAGAAAGGACTTGCATCAAGATAGCAGCCACAGGACACCTAAATCTTCCAGAGAAAAAGAATTTCTTGCCCTCTTATCAGAAGAAACGAACTTCTTCCCACCTCGAAGGCGCTGTTAGGATTCAGAGGAAGAAGTTGACGATGACCAGACAGAATCCTGTATTTGAATGGAATTTATGCATCATGTATCAAGTGTATGAATATGCAACAGGCTATTGTTTTTAAGGGTAAATCCTCTGTTAACAGGTGTACCCGGACGTCCGTAACGCTTTGTCCCTATTGTCTCATATTCTCCTAATTCAAATTGTCCAAATTATTATTACTCTAATTGTATTACAATTTTTATAACCACTTTATTACTATTGGACTTTTAAAATTTTAAAAACAAGTGATTGGCGATTTTCACAGCGGTGACTACGCTGCTGCAGAAGTGACCGCGCAGGGAGCAAGCTGTTCTGCTGGCACTGTCACTGCTCAGCACTGCTCGGGGTGGCTCAGACCCACTGTCACCCTTACACAGAGCCGACAACTCAAGAGAGCTCCTGCTCCCCCCTCTTACACCCCTTGTTTTTCGGTGGTGCTTGATCCAAGATAACGCAGGTGGGTCCCCACAAAATGAAGTGAGCTCGGTGCCCCCCCAGAATGTGGCTTAACCGCGGGCAGGCGCGGCGGGGGCGCGGCGCTGTCGGCGGCAGCGCAGGTGTCGGGAGGCGCGTGCGGTCGCTGGCGAGGCCGGAGCCGCCGGGGGGTGACCGCCTCCTTCCTGCCCTGGGCGAGGCGAGCGCGGGGCCACAGCCGCGGCAGCGGCGCCATGTGCCAGCGCCGCCGCGAGGGACCGCACGCAGCTGGCAGCTGGCAGCGCCGGCGAGAGCCGGGGGCTGCTGCCACCCCCCCGGGGGCTCCGAGCAGCCGGGAGGGGAGCGCCCCGAGCGTGGGGCTTTGAGCTTTGCAGGTGCTCGACCTAGAAGTGGTTGGCTGGATGCTCTCGGTAGGATGTGGGCTGGAGCCCGTCCTCGCCATCAGGGTGGCTCTCGGCAGGCTCCAGCAGCAGCGTTGGAGCCGCGGGGGATGCAGGAGGGGCCCCCGCAGGGCAGGTGCTGTGGGGGGGCTGTCTCCCCCCGGGGACATCCGGGTGGCAGCCCACTGTGGCGAGGTGTGTGACGGCAGAGGCGCAGGCGAGGCTCATATTTGGGCACGGAGCAGGTTATTGGAGGCCGCGGCCCCGCAGCCGGGAGATGAGGCGCCTGATAAAGGCTGCCCCCCCCCCCCCGGTGCTGGTGCTGCTGCGTGCATTGGCTCGGGCGCTGGCAGAGGTGCCGTGGCTGCGCTGGCTGGGTGCCGGTGGCCATGGGGCCGCTGCTGGCTCTGGGGCTGCTCGTGTGCGTGCGGCTGTGCGGGGGTGAGTGTCGGGCGGGCGGGAGCGGGGCCCGCGGCGGCGGCGGGCCCGGCTCAGCAGCCTCCGTGCCGCAGGCTCCGCGGAGCTGCGTCTGGTGGGCGGCGGCGGGCGCTGTGCCGGGCGCGTGGAGGTGAAGCACGACGGTGAGTGGGGCTCCGTGTGCGCCTTCGACTTCGACTGGGAGGCTCGCTGGGCCGTGGTGGTGTGCCGGCAGCTGGGCTGCGGCCGGGTGGCCAGGGCGTCCCTGCACGCCCCGTTCGGGCCGGGCAGCGGGCGGATCTGGCTGCAGCCCTTCTTCTGCCGCGGCACCGAGGATGCGCTGGAGCAGTGTCCTAACATCGGATGGGGACGGCATTTCTGCGGCCACGAGTGGGATGTGGGGGTGACCTGCACAGGTGAGGGGACGCGCTGGCCGTGCTGGCACAGCCACCACCTTGCGCTGGGGCACCGCGGGCTGGTGTGAGCCGTTCCGGTGCCCCTGTGCAGATGCCGTGGAGCTGAGGCTGGCGGGCGGCAGCAGTCCCTGTGCCGGGAGGGTGGAGGTGAAGCTGCAGGGACACTGGGGCACGGTGGGAGATGACAGCTGGGACATGGCGGACGCCGAGGTGGTTTGCCAGCAGCTGGGCTGTGGCTCGGCTTCTATTGCCTACTACACCCACGAGCGCTTTGGCGTCGGGGACGGGCTCGTCAGCCTGGCCCTGGTGAACTGCAGTGGGGCCGAGGCCACGCTCTGGAACTGCGAGATCCGCGGCTGGGGACCCTATAACAGCAGCATCCATGGCTTGAACGCCGCCGTTGTCTGCCAAGGTAGGAGCTGGGCTTGAAGGGGTTGAGACTATTCCTGCACATCCTTTGTAACTGGCCCTGCACTGCTTCCCCAGGCTTTTCCCGGCTGGTTGGTGGCGATGGAGCCTGTGCCGGGCGGCTGGAGGTGCGTCAGGGCCGGGCCTGGGTCGGTGTCTGTGAGGATGAGGTGGACATGAAGGCGGCCCAGGTGGTGTGCAGGGAGCTGGGCTGTGGTGAGGTGATCGCCATCGCCGGCAGTGGGCGTTTTGGGGCAGTGTCGGGATCGCTCTGGGTCGGGGGCTTCCGGTGCAATGGCACCGAGCCCCTCCTGAGTGCCTGTGCCCGGCGTCCGGCCCAGAGGCAGGAGTGCAGCGGCCCTGCCAGCGTCATCTGCTCCTGTAAGTGGCGGGGACAGCGGGGGCAGTTGGGGTCCCTGCAGCATCAGTGCTCTCAAGGCTGTTCCTGTGGCAGCCTACACGGGCTTCCGGCTGGGCAACGGCAGCTCGGGATGCGCCGGGCGAGTGGAGGTGGCAGTGAGGGGGACGTGGGGCTCCGTGTGCGCCAGCGAGTGGGACCTGCCCGATGCGCACGTCCTGTGCCGGCACCTGGGCTGCGGCCGCGCCTTCAGCGTGCCCCCGGGAGGCTCCTTCGGCAGCGGGGAGGGGCCGCTGCTGCCGGACGCCTTCGGCTGCAGCGGGAGCGAGCGGCACCCGGGCCAGTGCCCCGTGGCCGTGCTGGGGAAGCCGCCCTGTGCCCCCGGAAACGCCGCCGCCGTCAACTGCTCAGGTGGGTATGGCAGCTCTGTGAGGAGCCTTAAGGGCTTTTGGGACCCTGCCAAAAGTGGAGAAGGTATGAGATGATGCACGCTTATTTTTTGTGAAGGTCTGAGTGCGGCCATTTTACAGGCGCTGTTGAGTCCCTGCGGCTTGTGAAAGGTGAGACCCGCTGCGAGGGGTTTCTGGAATATAACACAAGCACCGGGGCCTGGCACCGTGTGCCAGGAGAGGTTTCGCTCCTACGGAATTTGAGCAACGTGTGTTGGAAGCTGGGCTGTGGAGAACTGGAGAAGAGTCATGGTGTCCCTGGGGAGGTCTATCTGTGGCAAGACAACAAGAATTGGGGCATCTTGAAAACGGTGATCAAAGACATTGTGGAGATGACCACTGATCTGGCCAGTAGGACCATAAGTGAGGATCATTTTAGGGACGATTACGGGTTGATGACCACTGGACCAGCTGACATCCCTCATGGGACCTACCTTGTCTGCTCAAGTGGGTGTCCTGAGAAGGGCTGGAGGTGCCGGTGCCCCAAGCAGCCACCCCAGCCCATTCCTTCCGTTCCCACAGGCAGCCTGCAGGTGAGGCTGGTGGGGAGCTCTGGGCGCTGTGCCGGGCGTGTGGAGGTCTATTCCGGTGGCAGCTGGAGCTGGGTGTGCCAGGAAGGCTGGGGGCTGCAGGCCGCGGCCGTTGTGTGCCGGGAGCTGGGCTGTGGCACGGCTCTGCAGGCCCCGGGCTGGGCGCGCTTGGGTGCCGGCGCGGGGCCGCTGTGGCCGTACAGCCCCGACTGCTCCGGCTCCGAGGAGTCTCTGTGGGAATGTGGGCGCACGGAACGGCGCGAGTGCGGGCGTGGCGGCGGGGCAGGGGCCGTCTGCTCAGGTCAGTGCCGGGCAGCCCCAGATCAGGGCCTGGAGAGGCCCCGGGGGGTTCCTGGCCGTGCCGTGACCCCCGTGCCTCCCTTGCAGAGCAGCTCTCCGTGCGGCTGGCAGGGGGCCCTGGGCGCTGCCGGGGCTTCCTGGAGATCTCCTACAACGGCACCTGGGGCCGCGTGTGCGCCAACGGCACCAGCCCCAGCACTGCCAGCACCGTCTGCCGCCAGCTGGGCTGTGGGCAGCGGGGCTGGCTCACAGCTGTCACCGCCCAGGAGCCGACCGAGGCCTGGCTGGCTTGGGTGGGCTGTGGGGAAGGGGCCCGCTCGCTCTGGCAGTGCCCCTCGGCAGCCTGGCACCTGCAGAGCTGCAGGCCAGGCGGGGATGCCTATGTGGAGTGTGAGGAGGACAGTGATGGCACCACTGAGGGACACACGACCCCATATCCGGAGGGTGCCAGCAGCACAGGTAGCTCTGCCCGTGCCCGCATCCCCCCCAGCAGGCTGGCTGGGATCCCCCTGGCCTCACTGCCTGCCTGTGTCCCCACAGGTGTCCCCAGAAGAAGGCCCCCGGCAGTGGCTGTGGGGTCTGTGCCTGTGCCCACTGTGCTGTGTGTGGTGCTGGGGACGCTGCTGTGCCTGTGCCTGGGTGCCCTGGCCCTGCTGCTGTGCCGTGCCCGTGCCCGGCGCCGAGGTGTGTCCCGGTGGGTGGGGGTGGGGACAGATCCCGTTTGGGGGTCCAGCGACCCCAGCCCTGCAGAATAGCTCAGAAGGGGGCCAGGGGCGATCCCGGTGCCCCCCACAGTGCCCAGGGCCCCAGGTAAGTGCTGCATCTCCTTCCAGGCCCTGGCAGAGCTGCAGATGCCATCTCCAATGCTGTCTACGAGGAGCTGGATTACAAAGCCATGCCCGAGTACCAGGAGGTGCCCACTCCGCCAGGTGGGTGCAGCCCTTGTGCCGCAGTTTTGCCTGCCCTGAAGGCTCTGCCCTGAGAGCCCCATGGCAGCTCTGGCTCCTGGTGGCCCAGCAGGGGCTCCTGGCCATGGGCTGTGGGTGTCCCTTGGTCCCAGAGCAGCCCCGCTCTGTGGTGGGAGGTTCTGTCACCAGTGGTGCCACTTGAGGCCACCTCCAAGTCCCTGTTTATCCCCTCCAGGTTCCCTGTTGGAGGGATGGGTGAAGAAGCTGCCGTATTACACAGGGGACAGCGTGGAGGGGAGTGACACCGAGGCAGCCCCAGGTAGGGCCACAGGGCAGGAGCCCAGCAGGGAGAGCTGGGGAGAGGGGACACACCTGGGCTGGGGGGGCTGAGGGGACAAATCTCCTCCCTTATTAATGTGCAGTGAAACATCACCTTTCCCTGCGGGTCCACAGGGCCTCTAGCGCGTGCTGAAGTGGAAAGGCTGGAGGGGGTGGCACAGCCTGAGCCCTGCCAGGGCCGCTGGTCACTGCCATGGACCCCTCTGCTTTTCCCAGATCCCCCTGCCTGGCGCGAGCAAGGACCCCCGGATGGCTACGACGATGTCCTGGCTGTGCCCCAGGAGCCCCCGGCTGCCAGCACTGGGGACATCTCCGAGGGAGTGGCAGGGCAGAGGTGGAGCTGTGTGCTCCCCACAGGTGAGAGGGCTCCCAGCTGCCCTGTCCCCTGTGCAGAGCCACTCCATGGCAGGCTTTGGCTGTGAGGGCGGGCAGGGCCCCATCAGCAGATCCATGGGTGCTGTGGCCAGAGGCCAGGAGGGGTCTGTCAGGGGGACACGGAGCTGCCTGCCCCCTCGGGCACCTTTCTGTGCTGTCCCCAAGGTGGGATCTACTCCCCTCCAGGTCCCGCAGGAGCCAGCAGGGATCCCTCGGAACAGCCCCCTGGACACATGGACTATGATGATGTCGGCAGCAGCGCCCTGGGGACATTGCCATGAGGATGTCCTGGCCATGCCACAGCCCTGGGGACACGTGTGTGGCAGCGTGATGGGGCCCTGTCCCCAGGGAAGGCTGGCCCTGCCCACAGAGGTCAGCCCTCGCTGTCCACCGCTGCAGGAAAGCAGCCCTTGTTTAAGGATTTTCTTTAATTTCAGTGTGAATTTCCCATTTTTCCTATTAAAATACAAAGTGGACAGAAACTCACTGCCAGGCCTGGAACATCCTTCTTGGGCTGGCATTTTCATTTTAGGTACACCAGCCACCCACAAGGATGTGAGGCAGGAACTGGAACCAGAGACCCCATCCTTGGCTGAGGGGGAGAAATAGTGGGAGATGGCTGGGATTGTCTTCGGGGTCTTTATTTGGCACTGCCAAATGCACAGAACTGCTGCCCCCAACAGCGAGGGCAAAAGGGAGAGGGCAGGAGCCGGATCCCGCCCCGCAGATGCAGCAGGATCTCCTGCCTGTGCCCCGAGGGTGGGGCAGGCTCAGCCCCACTCAGCACGGAGTGCTGGGCCAGGACTGGCTCTGGTTGTTGGAAGGATTTTCCTAAAGGATGGGAGGTCTCCTGAAGGAGGGCAGCGCCTTCGTGCCCCCCGGCAGCAGCCCGCGGTGGCAGGGCAGCCGGGCCATGGCCCTGGCCTGCGGCACGTCGTGCTCCAGGAGGTTCCCGATGTTCAGGCCGGGCTGCAGGGCCCGGAGGGCGTCCAGTTCCTTCCTGCAGCAGGGCCTGGCTGAATCCGTCCGTGCTCAGCCTGGGCGTGGAGGAGGCAGGAGCAGAGGTGTTGGAGCTTGTGGGGAGGGAGGTGCTGAAGGGGCCGCGGTGCCGGTGCGGCCCTGCCTGTCCCGCAGCCTCCGCTGCCCGGCTCGGGCATGCCGGACATGGAAGGGGCCGGGGCAGGGCCCTGACTCACCCCAGGCTCCTCAGCGGGCAGGCGGGATGCCGGAGCTGCTGGCAGAGCTGCAGGACGCCCTGGGCTCGCAGCTCGTTGTCACTCAGGTCCAGGCAGGTGAGACGGGGCCCCTGCAGCAGCCGCGCAGCCAGGGCCGGGCAGGAGGTGCCCGACAGCCGGCAGCTGCCCAGCCTGTGGGAGCGAGGGAAACAGGGAAGGAGGGCTTTGGCCTCTGCTTGCTGAGCTGCTCCGGGTGGGAAGGGCGGAGCAGTGGCTGAGGTGCTCGCATCAGCAGGGGCTGCTGAGGCGGCAATACGGCAGCCCAATGAGAGCCCTCGGGAAAGACCCTCAGAACCTCCCGAGGGGCCCCAGATGTGTCCGTGGACTCGGAGATCTCCTGTCCGCTGTGGCCGGGTCAGCAGCCAGCCAGCCAGCCGGCCAGTGCCCTCCGGTCCGGGTGCCGCGGCCCAGCCGGGCCGGTGTGGGCTCCGTGCGGTGCGTGCGTCTGTGAGCGGAGCAGCCCCGGACAGGGCCCGGTGCCGCAGGGCCCGGCAGCGCGGGGGGATGGGGCAGGGCAGCTCCTCCCGCCGCCGCACAGCGAGGGACCGGGACGTGGTGCCGGGCAGCAATGGCTGCGCTGCCGGTGCAGGGGCAGCAGCTGCACTTCCAGCTGCTCCGTTTGCTCTGCGCGGCAGCCCGGCACGAGAGTCCGGGAGGTGCCCGTCGTTTGTATAACAAAGAGCCGGAGAAAGCGGGATCCCGGCCAGGTTAGAGACACTGAGAGAGACAGCGGGAGAGGAGGATCGGGAGGAAGAGAGAGTTCGGTGTGGAATTTTTTGCTTGGAAAGTGAGAGGCTCAAAACCCTGTTCCTTTGCCTGGGACAATCCTTCGAGGCGGCAGCTGGGGCTGTTTCTGTGTTCCTGCGGGCAGCAGCAATTGGATTTACAGAGAGTCACCTGCGACTGTGCCGTGGGAAAGCCGAGGTGGAACTGGTGAGGAAACGTGAGGTCTGCGTGTAGCAGTGGGTGTTTGGGGAACCTCCGGGGCCAGCGGGGGTCAGTGGAGCCGCAGCTGTGAGTGAATGGGTGTCAGTGCCATGGGAGCAAGCAGATCCCTGCGTTGGGAATGCGCTGCCGGAGAGTCCTGTGAAGAGTGAGCCCGGGACGTTTCCTGCCGTGCGCGGCTGGCGGGCTGCAGGGGCCCGGGGCGGCGGGGCAGGCGCGGCGGGGGCGCGGCGCTGTCGGCGGCAGCGCAGGTGTCGGGAGGCGCGTGCGGTCGCTGGCGAGGCCGGAGCCGCCGGGGGGTGACCGCCTCCTTCCTGCCCTGGGCGAGGCGAGCGCGGGGCCACAGCCGCGGCAGCGGCGCCATGTGCCAGCGCCGCCGCGAGGGACCGCACGCAGCTGGCAGCTGGCAGCGCCGGCAAGAGCCGGGGGCTGCTGCCACCCCCCCGGGGGCTCCGAGCAGCCGGGAGGGGAGCGCCCCGAGCGTGGGGCTTTGAACTTTGCAGGTGCTCGACCTAGAAGTGGTTGGCTGGATGCTCTCGGTAGGATGTGGGCTGGAGCCCGTCCTCGCCATCAGGGTGGCTCTCGGCAGGCTCCAGCAGCAGCGTTGGAGCCGCGGGGGATGCAGGAGGGGCCCCCGCAGGGCAGGTGCTGTGGGGGGGCTGTCTCCCCCCGGGGACATCCGGGTGGCAGCCCACTGTGGCGAGGTGTGTGACGGCAGAGGCGCAGGCGAGGCTCATATTTGGGCACGGAGCAGGTTATTGGAGGCCGCGGCCCCGCAGCCGGGAGATGAGGCGCCTGATAAAGGCTGCCCCCCCCCCCCCGGTGCTGGTGCTGCTGCGTGCATTGGCTCGGGCGCTGGCAGAGGTGCCGTGGCTGCGCTGGCTGGGTGCCGGTGGCCATGGGGCCGCTGCTGGCTCTGGGGCTGCTCGTGTGCGTGCGGCTGTGCGGGGGTGAGTGTCGGGCGGGCGGGAGCGGGGCCCGCGGCGGCGGCGGGCGGCGGGCCCGGCTCAGCAGCCTCCGTGCCGCAGGCTCCGGGGAGCTGCGTCTGGTGGGCGGCGGCGGGCGCTGTGCCGGGCGCGTGGAGGTGAAGCACGACGGTGAGTGGGGCTCCGTGTGCGCCTTCGACTTCGACTGGGAGGCTCGCTGGGCCGTGGTGGTGTGCCGGCAGCTGGGCTGCGGCCGGGTGGCCAGGGCGTCCCTGCACGCCCCGTTCGGGCCGGGCAGCGGGCGGATCTGGCTGCAGCCCTTCTTCTGCCGCGGCACCGAGGATGCGCTGGAGCAGTGTTCGCACTTGGGATGGGGACGGCATTTCTGCGGCCACGAGTGGGATGTGGGGGTGACCTGCACAGGTGAGGGGACGCGCTGGCCGTGCTGGCATAGCCACCTTGCGCTGGGGCACCGCGGGCTGGTGTGAGCCGTTCCGGTGCCCCTGTGCAGATGCCGTGGAGCTGAGGCTGGCGGGCGGCGGCAGTCCCTGTGCCGGGAGGGTGGAGGTGAAGCTGCAGGGACACTGGGGCACGGTGGGAGACCACAGCTGGGACATGGAGGACGCCGAGGTGGTTTGCCAGCAGCTGGGCTGTGGCTCGGCTTCTATTGCCTACTACACCCACGAGCGCTTTGGCGTCGGGGACGGGCTCATCAGCCTGGCCCTGGTGAACTGCAGTGGGGACGAGGCCACGCTCTGGAACTGCGAGATCCGCGGCTGGGGACCCTATAACAGCAGCATCAATGTCTCGGACGTTGGCGTTGTCTGCCAAGGTAGGAGCTGGGTTTAATGTGGTTGTGGCACTTCCTGCACATCCCTTGTCACTAGCGCTGCACTGCTCCCCCAGGCTTTTCCCGGCTGGTTGGTGGCGATGGAGCCTGTGCCGGGCGGCTGGAAGTGCGTCAGGGCCGGGCCTGGGTCGGTGTCTGCGAGGATGAGGTGGACATGAAGGCGGCCCAGGTGGTGTGCAGGGAGCTGGGCTGCGGTGAGGTGATCGCCATCGCCGGCAGTGGGCGTTTTGGGGCAGTGTCGGGATCGCTCTGGGTCGGGGGCTTCCGGTGCAATGGCACCGAGCCCCTCCTGAGTGCCTGTGCCCGGCGTCCGGCCCAGAGGCAGGAGTGCAGCGGCCCTGCCAGCGTCATCTGCTCCTGTAAGTGGCGGGGACAGCGGGGGCAGTTGGGGTCCCTGCAGCATCAGTGCTCTCAAGGCTGTTCCTGTGGCAGCCTACACGGGCTTCCGGCTGGGCGACGGCAGCTCGGGATGCGCCGGGCGAGTGGAGGTGGCAGTGAGGGGGACGTGGGGCTCCGTGTGCGCCAGCGAGTGGGACCTGCCCGATGCGCACGTCCTGTGCCGGCACCTGGGCTGCGGCCGCGCCTTCAGCGTGCCCCCGGGAGGCTCCTTCGGCAGCGGGGAGGGGCCGCTGCTGCCGGACGCCTTCGGCTGCAGCGGGAGCGAGCGGCACCCGGGCCAGTGCCCCGTGGCCGTGCTGGGGAAGCCGCCCTGTGCCCCCGGAAACGCCGCCGCCGTCAACTGCTCAGGTGGGTATGGCAGCTCTGTGAGGAGCCCTAAGGGCTTTTGGGACCCTGCCAAAAGTGGAGAAGTATGAGATGATGCACGCTTATTTTTTGTGAAGGTCTGAGTGCGGCCATTTTACAGGCGCTGTTGAGTCCCTGCGGCTTGTGAAAGGTGAGACCCGCTGCGAGGGGTTTCTGGAGTATAACACAAGCACCGGGGCCTGGCACCGTGTGCCAGGAGAGGTTTCACTCCTACGGAATTTGAGCAACGTGTGTTGGAAGCTGGACTGTGGGGAACTGGAGAAGAGTCACGGTGTCCCTGGGGAGGTCTATCTGTTGCGAGACAACAAGTGGGGCATCTTGAAAACCGTGATCAAAGCCATTGTGGAGATGACCACTGATCTGGCCAGTAGGACCATAAGTGAGAATTATTTTTTGAACGATTACCGGTTGATGACCACTGGACCAGCTGACATCCCTCATGGGACCTACCTTGTCTGCTCAGGTGGGTGTCCCAAGAGGGCTGGAGGTGCCAGTGCCCCAAGCAGCCACCCCAGCGCACTCCTTCCGTGCCCACAGGCAGCCTGCAGGTGAGGCTGGTGGGGAGCTCTGGGCGCTGTGCCGGGCGTGTGGAGGTCTATTCCGGTGGCAGCTGGAGCTGGGTGTGCCAGGAAGGCTGGGGGCTGCAGGCCGCGGACGTTGTGTGCCGGGAGCTGGGCTGTGGCACGGCTCTGCAGGCCCCGGGCTGGGCGCGCTTGGGTGCCGGCGCGGGGCCGCTGTGGCCGTACAGCCCCGACTGCTCCGGCTCCGAGGAGTCTCTGTGGGAATGCGGGCGCACGGAACGGCGCGAGTGCGGGCGCGGCGGCGGGGCAGGGGCCGTCTGCTCAGGTCAGTGCCGGGCAGCCCCAGATCAGGGCCCAGCGAGGCCCCGGGGGGTTCCTGGCCGTGCCGTGACCCCCGTGCCTCCCTTGCAGAGCAGCTCTCCGTGCGGCTGGCAGGGGGCCCTGGGCGCTGCCGGGGCTTCCTGGAGATGTTCCAGAACAGCACCTGGGGCCGCGTGTGCGCCAACGGCACCAGCAACGGCACCGCCGCCGCCGTCTGCCGCCTGCTGGGCTGTGGGGAACTGGGCGAGCTCTCAGCTGTCAGCGCCCAGGAGTCGACCGAGGCCTGGCTGGCCTGGGTGGGCTGTGAGGACGGGGCCCGCTCGCTCTGGCAGTGCCCCTCGGCAGCCTGGCACCTGCAGAGCTGTGGCACCAACGAGCATGCCTATGTGGACTGTGAGGAGGACAGTGGTGGGACCACTGAGGGACACACGACCCCATATCCGGAGGGTGCCAGCAGCACAGGTAGCTCTGCCCGTGCCCACATCCCCCCCAGCAGGCTGGCTGGGATCCCCCTGGCCTCACTGCCTGCCTGTGTCCCCACAGGTGTCCCCAGAAGAAGGCCCCCGGCAGTGGCTGTGGGGTCTGTGCCTGTGCCCACTGTGCTGTGCGTGGTGCTGGGGACGCTGCTGTGCCTGTCCCTGGGTGCCCTGGCCCTGCTGCTGTGCCGTGCCCGTGCCCGGCGCCGAGGTGTGTCCCGGTGGGTGGGGGTGGGGACAGATCCCGTTTGGGGGTCCAGCGACCCCAGCCCTGCAGAATAGCTCAGAAGGGGGCCAGGGGTGATCCCGGTGCCCCCCACAGTGCCCAGGGCCCCAGGTAAGTGCTGCATCTCCTTCCAGGCCCTGGCAGAGCTGCAGATGCCATCTCCAACGCTGTCTACGAGGAGCTGGATTACAAAGCCATGCCTGAGTACCAGGAGGTGCCCACTCCGCCAGGTGGGTGCAGCCCTTGTGCCGCAGTTTTGCCTGCCCTGAAGGCTCTGCCCTGAGAGCCCCATGGCAGCTCTGGCTCCTGGTGGCCCAGCAGGGGCTCCTGGCCATGGGCTGTGGGTGTCCCTTCGTCCCAGAGAAGCCCCACTCTGTGGTGTGAGGTTCTGTCACCGGCGGTGCCACTTGAGGCCACCCCCAAGTCCCTGTTTATCCCCTGCAGGTTCCCTGTTGGAGGGATGGGTGAAGAAGCTGCCGTATTACACAGGGGACAGCGTGGAGGGGAGTGACACCGAGGCAGCCCCAGGTAGGGCCACAGGGCAGGAGCCCAGCAGGGAGAGCTGGAGAGAGGGGACACACCTGGGCTGGGGGGGCTGAGGGGACAAATCTCCTCCCTTATTAATGTGCAGTGAAACATCACCTTTCCCTGCGGGTCCACAGGGCCTCTAGCGCGTGCTGAAGTGGAAAGGCTGGAGGGGGTGGCACAGCCTGAGCCCTGCCAGGGCCGCTGGTCACTGCCATGGACCCCTCTGCTTTTCCCAGATCCCCCTGCCTGGCGCGAGCAAGGACCCCCGGATGGCTACGACGATGTCCTGGCTGTGCCCCAGGAGCCCCCGGCTGCCAGCACTGGGGACATCTCCGAGGGAGTGGCAAGGCAGGGGTGGAGCTGTGTGCTCCCCACAGGTGAGAGGGCTCCCAGCTGCCCTGTCCCCTGTGCAGAGCCACTCCATGGCAGGCTTTGGCTGTGGGGGCGGGCAGGGCCCCAGCAGCAGATCCATGGGTGCTGTGGCCAGAGCCCAGGTGGGGTCTGTCAGGGGGACACGGAGCTGCCTGCCCCCTCAGGCACCTTTCTGTGCTGTCCCCAAGGTGGGATCTACTCCCCTCCAGGTCCCACAGGAGCCAGCAGGGATCCCTCGGAACAGCCCCCTGGACACATGGACTATGATGATGTCGGCAGCAGCGCCCTGGGGACGTTGCCATGAAGATGTCCTGGCCATGCCACAGCCCTGGGGACACGTGTGTGGCAGCGTGATGGGGCCCTGTCCCCAGGGAAGGCTGGCCCTGCCCACAGAGGTCAGCCCTCGCTGTCCAGCGCTGCAGGAAAGCAGCCCTTGTTTAAGGATTTTCTTTAATTTCAGTGTGAATTTCCCATTTTTCCTATTAAAACACAAAGTGGACAGAAACTCAGTGCCAGGCCTGGAACATCCTTCTTGGGCTGGCACTTTCATTTTAGGTACACCAGCCACCCACAAGGATGTGAGGCAGGAACTGGAACCAGAGACCCCGTCCTTGGCTGAGGGGGAGAAATAGTGGGAGATGGCTGGGATTGTCTTCGGGGTCTTTATTTGGCACTGCCAAATGCACAGAACTGCTGCCCCCAACAGCGAGGGCAAAAGGGAGAGGGCAGGAGCCGGATCCCGCCCCGCAGATGCAGCAGGATCTCCTGCCTGTGCCCCGAGGGTGGGGCAGGCTCAGCCCCACTCAGCACGGAGTGCTGGGCCAGGACTGGCTCTGGTTGTTGGAAGGATTTTCCTAAAGGATGGGAGGTCTCCTGAAGGAGGGCAGCGCCTTCGTGCCCCCCGGCAGCAGCCCGCGGTGGCAGGGCAGCCGGGCCATGGCCCTGGCCTGCGGCACGTCGTGCTCCAGGAGGTTCCCGATGTTCAGGCCGGGCTGCAGGGCCCGGAGGGCGTCCAGTTCCTTCCTGCAGCAGGGCCTGGCTGAATCCGTCCGTGCTCAGCCTGGGCGTGGAGGAGGCAGGAGCAGAGGTGTTGGAGCTTGTGGGGAGGGAGGTGCTGAAGGGGCCGCGGTGCCGGTGCGGCCCTGCCTGTCCCGCAGCCTCCGCTGCCCGGCTCGGGCATGCCGGACATGGAAGGGGCCGGGGCAGGGCCCTGACTCACCCCAGGCTCCTCAGCGGGCAGGCGGGATGCCGGAGCTGCTGGCAGAGCTGCAGGACGCCCTGGGCTCGCAGCTCGTTGTCACTCAGGTCCAGGCAGGTGAGACGGGGCCCCTGCAGCAGCCGCGCAGCCAGGGCCGGGCAGGAGGTGCCCGACAGCCGGCAGCTGCCCAGCCTGTGGGAGCGAGGGAAACAGGGAAGGAGGGCTTTGGCCTCTGCTTGCTGAGCTGCTCCGGGTGGGAAGGGCGGAGCAGTGGCTGAGGTGCTCGCAGCAGCAGGGGCTGCTGAGGCAGCAATACGGCAGCCCAATGAGAGCCCTCGGGAAGGACCCTCAGAGCCTCCCGAGGGGCCCCAGATGTGTCCGTGGACTCGGAGATCTCCTGTCCGCTGTGGCCGGGTCAGCAGCCAGCCAGCCAGCCGGCCAGTGCCCTCCGGTCCGGGTGCCGCGGCCCAGCCGGGCCGGTGTGGGCTCCGTGCGGTGCGTGCGTCTGTGAGCGGAGCAGCCCCGGACAGGGCCCGGTGCCGCAGGGCCCGGCAGCGCGGGGGGATGGGGCAGGGCAGCTCCTCCCGCCGCCGCACAGCGAGGGACCGGGACGTGGTGCCGGGCAGCAATGGCTGCGCTGCCGGTGCAGGGGCAGCAGCTGCACTTCCAGCTGCTCCGTTTGCTCTGCGCGGCAGCCCGGCACGAGAGTCCGGGAGGTGCCCGTCGTTTGTATAACAAAGAGCCGGAGAAAGCGGGATCCCGGCCAGGTGAGAGACACTGAGAGAGACAGCGGGAGAGGAGGATCGGGAGGAAGAGAGAGTTCGGTGTGGAATTTTTTGCTTGGAAAGTGAGAGGCTCAAAGCCCTGTTCCTTTGCCTGGGACAATCCTTCGAGGCGGCAGCTGGGGCTGTTTCTGTGTTCCTGCGGGCAGCAGCAATCGGATTTACAGAGAGTCACCTGCGACTGTGCCGAGGGAAAGCCGGGATGGAACTGGTGAGGAAATGTGGGTTCCGAGTGTGTGGCAGTGGGTGTTTGGGGAACCTCCGGGGCCAGCGGGGGTCAGTGGAGCAGCAGCTGTGAGTGAATGGGTGTCAGTGCCATGGGAGCAAGCGGATCCCTGCGTTGGGAATGCGCTGCCGGAGAGTCCTGTGAAGGGTGAGCCCGGGACGTTTCCTGCCGTGCGCGGCTGGCGGGCTGCAGGGGCCCGGGGCGGCGGGGCAGGCGCGGCGGGGGCGCGGCGCTGTCGGCGGCAGCGCAGGTGTCGGGAGGCGCGTGCGGTCGCTGGCGAGGCCGGAGCCGCCGGGGGGTGACCGCCTCCTTCCTGCCCTGGGCGAGGCGAGCGCGGGGCCACAGCCGCGGCAGCGGCGCCATGTGCCAGCGCCGCCGCGAGGGACCGCACGCAGCTGGCAGCTGGCAGCGCCGGCGAGAGCCGGGGGCTGCTGCCACCCCCCCGGGGGCTCCGAGCAGCCGGGAGGGGAGCGCCCCGAGCGTGGGGCTTTGAGCTTTGCAGGTGCTCGACCTAGAAGTGGTTGGCTGGATGCTCTCGGTAGGATGTGGGCTGGAGCCCGTCCTCGCCATCAGGGTGGCTCTCGGCAGGCTCCAGCAGCAGCGTTGGAGCCGCGGGGGATGCAGGAGGGGCCCCCGCAGGGCAGGTGCTGTGGGGGGGCTGTCTCCCCCCGGGGACATCCGGGTGGCAGCCCACTGTGGCGAGGTGTGTGACGGCAGAGGCGCAGGCGAGGCTCATATTTGGGCACGGAGCAGGTTATTGGAGGCCGCGGCCCCGCAGCCGGGAGATGAGGCGCCTGATAAAGGCTGCCCCCCCCCCCCCGGTGCTGGTGCTGCTGCGTGCATTGGCTCGGGCGCTGGCAGAGGTGCCGTGGCTGCGCTGGCTGGGGGCCGGTGGCCATGGGGCCGCTGCTGGCTCTGGGGTTGCTCGTGTGCGTGCGGCTGTGCGGGGGTGAGTGTCGGGCGGGCGGGAGCGGGGCCCGCGGCGGCGGCGGGCCCGGCTCAGCAGCCTCCGTGCCGCAGGCTCCGGGGAGCTGCGTCTGGTGGGCGGCGGCGGGCGCTGTGCCGGGCGCGTGGAGGTGAAGCACGACGGTGAGTGGGGCTCCGTGTGCGCCTTCGACTTCTACTGGGAGGCTCTGGGAGCGCCACTGGCCGTGGTGGTGTGCCGGCAGCTGGGCTGCGGCCGGGTGGCCAGGGTGTCCCTGCACGCCCCGTTCGGGCCGGGCAGCGGGCGGATCTGGCTGCAGCCCTTCTTCTGCCGTGGCACCGAGGATGCGCTTGAGCAGTGTTGGCACTTGGGATGGGGACGGCATTTCTGCGGCCACGAGTGGGATGTGGGAGTGACCTGCACAGGTGAGGGGACGTGCTGGCCGTGTTGGCACAGCCACCTTGCGCTGGGGCACTGCGGGCTGGTGTGAGCCGTGCCGGTGCCCCTGTGCAGATGCCGTGGAGCTGAGGCTGGCGGGCGGCGGCAGTCCCTGTGCCGGGAGGGTGGAGGTGAAGCTGCAGGGACACTGGGGCTCGGTGGCAGACGACAAGTGGGACATGGAGGACGCCAAGGTGGTTTGCCAGCAGCTGGGCTGTGGTTCGGCTTCCGGTGCCTTCTTCGCCCTTGATCGCTTTGGTGTAGGCGTTGGGCCCATCAGCCTGGCTGCAGTGGACTGCAGGGGGGACGAGGCCATGCTCTGGGACTGCAAGATCCGTGGCTGGGGGCCCTATAACATTACCATCCATGATTCAGACACTGCCGTTGTCTGCCAAGGTATGAGCCGGGCTTGAAGGATTTGAGACTGTTCATGCACATCTCTTGTAACAGGCCCTGCACTCCTCCCCCAGGCTTTTCCCGGCTGGTTGGTGGCGATGGAGCCTGTGCCGGGCGGCTGGAGGTGCGTCAGGGCCAGGCCTGGGTCGGTGTCTGTGAGGATGAGGTGGACATGAAGGCGGCCCAGGTGGTGTGCAGGGAGCTGGGCTGTGGTGAGGTGAACGCCATCGCCGGCAGTGGCCGTTTTAGGGCAGTGTCGGGATCGCTCTGGGTCGGGGGCTTCCGGTGCAATGGCACCGAGCCCCTCCTGAGTGCCTGTGCCCGGCGTCCGGCCCAGAGGCAGGAGTGCAGCGGCCCTGCCAGCGTCATCTGCTCCTGTAAGTGGCGGGGACAGCGGGGGCAGTTGGGGTCCCTGCAGCATCAGTGCTCTCAAGGCTGTTCCTGTGGCAGCCTACACGGGCTTCCGGCTGGGCGACGGCAGCTCGGGATGCGCCGGGCGAGTGGAGGTGGCAGTGAGGGGGACGTGGGGCTCCGTGTGCGCCAGCGAGTGGGACCTGCCCGATGCGCACGTCCTGTGCCGGCACCTGGGCTGCGGCCGCGCCTTCAGCGTGCCCCCGGGAGGCTCCTTCGGCAGCGGGGAGGGGCCGCTGCTGCCGGACGCCTTCGGCTGCAGCGGGAGCGAGCGGCACCCGGGCCAGTGCCCCGTGGCCGTGCTGGGGAAGCCGCCCTGTGCCCCCAGAAACGCCGCCGCCGTCAACTGCTCAGGTGGGTATGGCAGCTCTGTGAAGAGCCTTAAGGGCTTTCAGGACCCCGTCAAGAATTGCGACCAGATGTTTTGGACTGAAGTATGGTGTGAGCCAGGTGCTACAGCCCATGGCTCTGCTGGTGAATTTACAGGCAGTGGCTTTGTCACGTCCCTGAGGCTGGTGGATGGTCAGAGCTTGTGTGATGGGCGCCTGGAGGAGACCATAACCAGCCCAGCCTGGCGCCGTGTGCCTCTGGAGCAGTGGAACCAATGGGATGCGTACATGGTATGTGCGGTGCTGGGCTGCGGCCTTCCCAAGGACGTTTACGCTGCCTTGGGTACGGCTCCGGCATTGAGCAGCAGCCCCAGTGAGGAGGACATCATGAGTGAAGAGATGGGCAGCAGTTTGGGCATGGGCTCTGCACTGAGCAGCAGCCCTGAGGAGATGGATGACCAGCTGGAGGAGATGGGCAATGTGTCAGGGATGGGCCCTGCAGCAAACAGCAGCCTTGAGGAGATGGTCATTGTCTGCTCAGGTGGGTGTCCCGAGAGGGCTGGAGGTGCCGGTGCCCCAAGCAGCCACCCCAGCGCACTCCTTCCGTGCCCACAGGCAGCCTGCGGGTGAGGCTGGTGGGGAGCTCTGGGCGCTGTGCCGGGCGTGTGGAGGTCTATTCCGGTGGCAGCTGGAGCTGGGTGTGCCAGGAAGGCTGGGGGCTGCAGGCCGCGGCCGTTGTGTGCCGGGAGCTGGGCTGTGGCACGGCTCTGCAGGCCCCGGGCTGGGCGCGCTTGGGTGCCGGCGCGGGGCCGCTGTGGCCGTACAGCCCCGACTGCTCCGGCTCCGAGGAGTCTCTGTGGGAATGCGGGCGCACGGAACGGCGCGAGTGCGGGCGTGGCGGCGGGGCAGGGGCTGTCTGCTCAGGTCAGTGCCGGGCAGCCCCAGATCAGTGCCTGGAGAGGCCCCGGGGGGTTCCTGGCCGTGCCGTGACCCCCGTGCCTCCCTTGCAGAGCAGCTCTCCGTGCGGCTGGCAGGGGGCCCTGGGCGCTGCCGGGGCTTCCTGGAGATCTCCTACAACGGCACCTGGGGCTGCGTGTGCGCCAACGGCACCAGCCCCAGCACTGCCAGCACCGTCTGCCGCCAGCTGGGCTGTGGGCAGCGGGGCTGGCTCACAGCTGTCACCGCCCAGGAGCCGACCGAGGCCTGGCTGGCCTGGGTGGGCTGTGAGGACGGGGCCCGCTCGCTCTGGCAGTGCCCCTCGGCAGCCTGGCACCTGCAGAGCTGCAGGCCAGGCGGGGATGCCTATGTGGAGTGTGAGGAGGACAGTGATGGCACCACTGAGGGACACACAACCCCATATCCGGAGGGTGCCAGCAGCACAGGTAGCTCTGCCCGTGCCCACATCCCCCCCAGCAGGCTGGCTGGGATCCCCCTGGCCTCACTGCCTGCCTGTGTCCCCACAGGTGTCCCCAGAAGAAGGCCCCCGGCAGTGGCCAGGGGGTCTGTGCCTGTGCCCACTGTGCTGTGTGTGGTGCTGGGGACGCTGCTGTGCCTGTCCCTGGGTGCCCTGGCCCTGCTGCTGTGCCGTGCCCGTGCCCGGCGCCGAGGTGTGTCCCGGTGGGTGGGGGTGGGGACAGATCCCGTTTGGGGGTCCAGCGACCCCAGCCCTGCAGAATAGCTCAGAAGGGGGCCAGGGGTGATCCCGGTGCCCCCCACAGTGCCCAGGGCCCCAGGTAAGTGCTGCATCTCCTTCCAGGCCCTGGCAGAGCTGTAGATGCCATCTCCAATGCTGTCTACGAGGAGCTGGATTACAAAGCCATTCCCGAGTACCAGGAGGTGCCCACTCCGCCAGGTGGGTGCAGCCCTTGTGCCCCAGTTGTGCCTGCCCTGAAGGCTCTGCCCTGAGAGCCCCATGGCAGCTCTGGCTCCTGGTGGCCCAGCAGGGGCTCCTGGCCATGGGCTGTGGGTGTCCCTCGGTCCCAGAGCAGCCCCACTCTGTGGTGGGAGGTTCTGTCACCGGCGGTGCCACTTGAGGCCACCCCCAAGTCCCGGTTTATCCTCTGCAGGTTCCCTGTTGGAGGGATGGGTGAAGAAGCTGCCGTATTACACAGGGGACAGCGTGGAGGGGAGTGACACCGAGGCAGCCCCAGGTAGGACCACAGGGCAGGAGCCCAGCAGGGAGAGCTGGGGAGAGGGGACACACCTGGGCTGGGGGGGGCTGAGGGGACAAATCTCCTCCCTTATTAATGTGCAGTGAAACATCACCTTTCCCTGCGGGTCCACAGGGCCTCTAGCGCGTGCTGAAGTGGAAAGGCTGGAGGGGGTGGCACAGCCTGAGCCCTGCCAGGGCCGCTGGTCACTGCCATGGACCCCTCTGCTTTTCCCAGATCCCCCTGCCTGGCGCGAGCAAGGACCCCCGGATGGCTACGACGATGTCCTGGCTGTGCCCCAGGAGCCCCCGGCTGCCAGCACTGGGGACATCTCTGAGGGAGTGGCAGGGCAGAGGTGGAGCTGTGTGCTCCCCACAGGTGAGAGGGCTCCCAGCTGCCCTGTCCCCTGTGCAGAGCCACTCCATGGCAGGCTTTGGCTGTGGGGGTGGGCAGGGCCCCATCAGCAGTTCCATGGGTGCTGTGGCCAGAGGCCAGGAGGGGTCTGTCAGGGGGACACGGAGCTGCCTGCCCCCTCAGGCACCTCTCTGTGCTGTCCCCAAGGTGGGATCTACTCCCCTCCAGGTCCCCCAGGAGCCAGTAGGGAGCCCTCGGAACAGCCCCCTGGACACATGGACTATGATGATGTCGGCAGCAGTGCCCTGGGGATATTGCCATGAGGATGTCCTGGCCATGCCACAGCCCTGGGGACACGTGTGTGGCAGCGTGATGGGGCCCTGTCCCCAGGGAAGGCTGGCCCTGCCCACAGAGGTCAGCCCTCGCTGTCCAGCGCTGCAGGAAAGCAGCTCTTGTTTAAGGATTTTCTTTGATTTCAGTGTGAATTTTCCATTTTTCCTATTAAAACACAAAGTGGACAGAAACTCAGTGCCAGGCCTGGAACATCCTTCTTGGGCTGGCACTTTCATTTTAGGTACACCAGCCACACACAAGGATGTGAGGCAGGAACTGGAACCAGAGACCCCATCCTTGGCTGAGGGGGAGAAATAGTGGGAGATGGCTGGGATTGTCTTCGGGGTCTTTATTTGGCACTGCCAAATGCAGAGAACTGCTGCCCCCAACAGCGAGGGCAAAAGGGAGAGGGCAGGAGCCGGATCCCGCCCCGCAGATGCAGCAGGATCTCCTGCCTGTGCCCCGAGGGTGGGGCAGGCTCAGCCCCACTCTCAGCACGGGGAGCTGGGCCAGGACTGGCTCTGGTTGTTGGAAGGATTTTCCTAAAGGATGGGAGGTCTCCTGAAGGAGGGCAGCGCCTTCGTGCCCCCCGGCAGCAGCCCGCGGTGGCAGGGCAGCCGGGCCATGGCCCCGGCCTGCGGCACGTCGTGCTCCAGGAGGTTCCCGATGTTCAGGCCGGGCTGCAGGGCCCGGAGGGCGTCCAGTTCCTGCAGCAGGGCCTGGCTGAATCCGTCCGTGCTCAGCCTGGGCGTGGAGGAGGCAGGAGCAGAGGTGTTGGAGCTTGTGGGGAGGGAGGTGCTGAAGGGGCCGCGGTGCCGGTGCGGCCCTGCCTGTCCCGCAGCCTCCGCTGCCCGGCTCGGGCATGCCGGGCATGGTAGGGGCCGGGGCAGGGCCCTGACTCACCCCAGGCTCCTCAGCGGGCAGGCGGGATGCCGGAGCTGCTGGCAGAGCTGCAGGACGCCCTGGGCTCGCAGCTCGTTGTCACTCAGGTCCAGGCAGGTGAGACGGGGCCCCTGCAGCAGCCGCGCAGCCAGGGCCGGGCAGGAGGTGCCCGACAGCCGGCAGCTGCCCAGCCTGTGGGAGCGAGGGAAACAGGGAAGGAGGGCTTTGGCCTCTGCTTGCTGAGCTGCTCCGGGTGGGAAGGGCGGAGCAGTGGCTGAGGTGCTCGCAGCAGCAGGGGCTGCTGAGGCGGCAATACGGCAGCCCAATGAGAGCCCTCGGGAAAGACCCTCAGAGCCTCCCGAGGGGCCCCAGATGTGTCCATGGAGTCGGAGATCTCCTGTCCGCTGTGGCCGGGTCAGCAGCCAGCCAGCCAGCCGGCCAGTGCCCTCCGGTCCGGGTGCCGCGGCCCAGCCGGGCCGGTGTGGGCTCCGTGCGGTGCGTGCGTCTGTGAGCGGAGCAGCCCCGGACAGGGCCCGGTGCCGCAGGGCCCGGCAGCGCGGGGGGATGGGGCAGGGCAGCTCCTCCCGCCGCCGCACAGCGAGGGACCGGGACGTGGTGCCGGGCAGCAATGGCTGCGCTGCCGGTGCAGGGGCAGCAGCTGCACTTCCAGCTGCTCCGTTTGCTCTGCGCGGCAGCCCGGCACGAGAGTCCGGGAGGTGCCCGTCGTTTGTATAACAAAGAGCCGGAGAAAGCGGGATCCCGGCCAGGTGAGAGACACTGAGAGAGACAGGAGGAGAGGAGGATCGGGAGGAAGAGAGCCTTTAGAGTGAACTTTCTGTGCTTGGAATGTGAGAGGCTCAAAGCCCTGTTCCTTTGCCTGGGACAATCCTGGAGGCAGCAGCTGGGGCTGTTTCTGTGTTCCTGCGGGCAGCAGCAATCGGATTTAGAGAGGGAGTCACCTGCGACTGTGCCGTGGGAAAGCCGAGGTGGAACTGGTGAGGAAACGTGAGGTCTGCGTGCAGCGATGTGTGTTTGGGGAACCTCCGGGGCTAGCGGGGGTCAGTGGAGCAGCAGCTGTGAGTGAATGGGTGTCAGTGCCATGGGAGCAAGCGGATCCCTGCGTTGGGAATGCGCTGCCGGAGAGTCCTGTGAAGGGTGAGCCCGGGACGTTTCCTGCCGTGCGCGGCTGGCGGGCTGCAGGGGCCCGGGGCGGCGGGGCAGGCGCGGCGGGGGCGCGGCGCTGTCGGCGGCAGCGCAGGTGTCGGGAGGCGCGTGCGGTCGCTGGCGAGGCCGGAGCCGCCGGGGGGTGACCGCCTCCTTCCTGCCCTGGGCGAGGCGAGCGCGGGGCCACAGCCGCGGCAGCGGCGCCATGTGCCAGCGCCGCCGCGAGGGACCGCACGCAGCTGGCAGCTGGCAGCGCCGGCGAGAGCCGGGGGCTGCTGCCACCCCCCCGGGGGCTCCGAGCAGCCGGGAGGGGAGCGCCCCGAGCGTGGGGCTTTGAACTTTGCAGGTGCTCGACCTAGAAGTGGTTGGCTGGATGCTCTCGGTAGGATGTGGGCTGGAGCCCGTCCTCGCCATCAGGGTGGCTCTCGGCAGGCTCCAGCAGCAGCGTTGGAGCCGCGGGGGATGCAGGAGGGGCCCCCGCAGGGCAGGTGCTGTGGGGGGGCTGTCTCCCCCCGGGGACATCCGGGTGGCAGCCCACTGTGGCGAGGTGTGTGACGGCAGAGGCGCAGGCGAGGCTCATATTTGGGCACGGAGCAGGTTATTGGAGGCCGCGGCCCCGCAGCCGGGAGATGAGGCGCCTGATAAAGGCTGTCCCCCCCCCGGTGCTGGTGCTGCTGGGTGCATTGGCTCGGGCGCTGGCAGAGGTGCCGTGGCTGCGCTGGCTGGGGGCCGGTGGCCATGGGGCCGCTGCTGGCTCTGGGGCTGCTCGTGTGCGTGCGGCTGTGCGGGGGTGAGTGTCGGGCGGGCGGGAGCGGGGCCCGCGGCGGCGGCGGGCCCGGCTCAGCAGCCTCCGTGCCGCAGGCTCCGGGGAGCTGCGTCTGGTGGGCGGCGGCGGGCGCTGTGCCGGGCGCGTGGAGGTGAAGCACGACGGTGAGTGGGGCTCCGTGTGCGCCTTCGACTTCGACTGGGAGGCTCGCTGGGCCGTGGTGGTGTGCCGGCAGCTGGGCTGCGGCCGGGTGGCCAGGGCGTCCCTGCACGCCCCGTTCGGGCCGGGCAGCGGGCGGATCTGGCTGCAACCCTTCTTCTGCCGCGGCACCGAGGATGCGCTGGAGCAGTGTTCGCACATGGGATGGGGACGGCATTTCTGCGGCCACGAGTGGGATGTGGGAGTGACCTGCACAGGTGAGGGGACGCACTGGCCGCGCTGGCAGAGCCACCTTGCGCTGGGGCACTGCGGGCTGGTGTGAGCTGTTCCGGTGCCCTTGCGCAGATGCCGTGGAGCTGAGGCTGGCGGGCGGCGGCAGTCCCTGTGCCGGGAGGGTGGAGGTGAAGCTGCAGGGACACTGGGGCACGGTGGGAGACCACAGCTGGGACATGGCGGACGCCGAGGTGGTTTGCCAGCAGCTGGGCTGTGGCTCGGCTTCTATTGCCTACTACACCCACGAGCGCTTTGGCGTCGGGGACGGGCTCGTCAGCCTGGCCCTGGTGAACTGCAGTGGGGCCGAGGCCACGCTCTGGAACTGCGAGATCCGCGGCTGGGGACCCTATAACAGCAGCATCAATGTCTCGGACGTTGGCGTTGTCTGCCAAGGTAGGAGCTGGGTTTAATGTGGTTGTGGCACTTCCTGCACATCCCTTGTCACTAGCGCTGCACTGCTCCCCCAGGCTTTTCCCGGCTGGTTGGTGGCGATGGAGCCTGTGCCGGGCGGCTGGAAGTGCGTCAGGGCCGGGCCTGGGTCGGTGTCTGCGAGGATGAGGTGGACATGAAGGCGGCCCAGGTGGTGTGCAGGGAGCTGGGCTGCGGTGAGGTGATCGCCATCGCCGGCAGTGGGCGTTTTGGGGCAGTGTCGGGATCGCTCTGGGACGGGGGCTTCCGGTGCAATGGCACCGAGCCCCTCCTGAGTGCCTGTGCCCGGCGTCCGGCCCAGAGGCAGGAGTGCAGCGGCCCTGCCAGCGTCATCTGCTCCTGTAAGTGGCGGGGACAGCGGGGGCAGTTGGGGTCCCTGCAGCATCAGTGCTCTCAAGGCTGTTCCTGTGGCAGCCTACACGGGCTTCCGGCTGGGCGACGGCAGCTCGGGATGCGCCGGGCGAGTGGAGGTGGCAGTGAGGGGGACGTGGGGCTCCGTGTGCGCCAGCGAGTGGGACCTGCCCGATGCGCACGTCCTGTGCCGGCACCTGGGCTGCGGCCGCGCCTTCAGCGTGCCCCCGGGAGGCTCCTTCGGCAGCGGGGAGGGGCCGCTGCTGCCGGACGCCTTCGGCTGCAGCGGGAGCGAGCGGCACCCGGGCCAGTGCCCCGTGGCCGTGCTGGGGAAGCCGCCCTGTGCCCCCGGAAACGCCGCCGCCGTCAACTGCTCAGGTGGGTATGGCAGCTCTGTGAAGAGCCTTAAGGGCTTTTGGGACCCTGCCAAAAGTGGAGAAGTATGAGATGATGCACGCTTATTTTTTGTGAAGGTCTGAGTGCGGCCATTTTACAGGCGCTGTTGAGTCCCTGCGGCTTGTGAAAGGTGAGACCCGCTGCGAGGGGTTTCTGGAGTATAACACAAGCACCGAGGCCTGGCACCGTGTGCCAGGAGAGGTTTCACTCCTACGGAATTTGAGCAACGTGTGTTGGAAGCTGGACTGTGGGGAACTGGAGAAGAGTCACGGTGTCCCTGGGGAGGTCTATCTGATGCAAGACAACAAGAATTGGGTCATCTTGGCAAATGTGATCAAAGACATTGTGCAGATGACCACTGCTCTGACCAATAGTACCATAAGTGACGGTTATTTTGGGACTGATTATGCGTTCATGACCACTGGACCAGCTGACATCCCTCATGGGACCTACCTTGCCTGCTCAGGTGGGTGTCCCGAGAGGGCTGGAGGTGCCGGTGCCACAAGCAGCCACCTCAGCCCATTCCTTCTGTGCCCGCAGGCAGCCTGCAGGTGAGGCTGGTGGGGAGCTCTGGGCGCTGTGCCGGGCGTGTGGAGGTCTATTCCGGTGGCAGCTGGAGCTGGGTGTGCCAGGAAGGCTGGGGGCTGCAGGCCGCGGCCGTTGTGTGCCGGGAGCTGGGTTGTGGCACGGCTCTGCAGGCCCCGGGCTGGGCGCGCTTGGGTGCCGGCGCGGGGCCGCTGTGGCCGTACAGCCCCGACTGCTCCGGCTCCGAGGAGTCTCTGTGGGAATGCGGGCGCACGGAACGGCGCGAGTGCGGGCGCGGCGGCGGGGCAGGGGCCGTCTGCTCAGGTCAGTGCCGGGCAGCCCCAGATCAGGGCCCAGCGAGGCCCCGGGGGGTTCCTGGCCGTGCCGTGACCCCCGTGCCTCCCTTGCAGAGCAGCTCTCCGTGCGGCTGGCAGGGGGCCCTGGGCGCTGCCGGGGCTTCCTGGAGATGTTCCAGAACAGCACCTGGGGCCGCGTGTGCGCCAACGGCACCAGCAACGGCACCGCCGCCGCCGTCTGCCGCCTGCTGGGCTGTGGGGAACTGGGCGAGCTCTCAGCTGTCACGGCCCAGGAGTCGACCGAGGCCTGGCTGGCCTGGGTGGGCTGTGAGGACGGGGCCCGCTCGCTCTGGCAGTGCCCCTCGGCAGCCTGGCACCTACAGAGCTGCAGGCCAGGCGGGGATGCCTATGTGGAGTGTGAGGAGGACAGTGATGGCACCACTGAGGGACATACGACCCCATATCCGGAGGGTGCCAGCAGCACAGGTAGCTCTGCCCGTGCCCGCATCCCCCCCAGCAGGCTGGCTGGGATCCCCCTGGCCTCACTGCCTGCCTGTGTCCCCACAGGTGTCCCCAGAAGAAGGCCCCCGGCAGTGGCTGTGGGGTCTGTGCCTGTGCCCACTGTGCTGTGCGTGGTGCTGGGGACGCTGCTGTGCCTGTCCCTGGGTGCCCTGGCCCTGCTGCTGTGCCGTGCCCGTGCCCGGCGCCGAGGTGTGTCCCGGTGGGTGGGGGTGGGGACAGATCCCGTTTGGGGGTCCAGCGACCCCAGCCCTGCAGAATAGCTCAGAAGGGGGCCAGGGGTGATCCCGGTGCCCCCCACACTGCCCAGGGCCCCAGGTAAGTGCTGCATCTCCTTCCAGGCCCTGGCAGAGCTGCAGATGCCATCTCCAACGCTGTCTACGAGGAGCTGGATTACAAAGCCATGCCTGAGTACCAGGAGGTGCCCACTCCGCCAGGTGGGTGCAGCCCTTGTGCCGCAGTTTTGCCTGCCCTGAAGGCTCTGCCCTGAGAGCCCCATGGCAGCTCTGGCTCCTGGTGGCCCAGCAGGGGCTCCTGGCCATGGGCTGTGGGTGTCCCTCGGTCCCAGAGCAGCCCCACTCTGTGGTGGGAGGTTCTGTCACCGGCGTTGCCACTTGAGGCCACCCCCAAGTCCCTGTTTATCCCCTGCAGGTTCCCTGTTGGAGGGATGGGTGAAGAAGCTGCCGTATTACACAGGGGACAGCGTGGAGGGGAGTGACACCGAGGCAGCCCCAGGTAGGGCCACAGGGCAGGAGCCCAGCAGGGAGAGCTGGGGAGAGGGGACACACCTGGGCTGAGGGGGCTGAGGGGACAAATCTCCTCCCTTATTAATGTGCAGTGAAACATCACCTTTCCCTGCGGGTCCACAGGGCCTCTAGCGCGTGCTGAAGTGGAAAGGCTGGAGGGGGTGGCACAGCCTGAGCCCTGCCAGGGCCGCTGGTCACTGCCATGGACCCCTCTGCTTTTCCCAGATCCCCCTGCCTGGCGCGAGCAAGGACCCCCGGATGGCTACGACGATGTCCTGGCTGTGCCCCAGGAGCCCCCGGCTGCCAGCAGTGTGGACATCTCTGAGGGAGTGGCAGGGCAGAGGTGGAGCTGTGTGCTCCCCACAGGTGAGAGGTCTCCCAGCTGCCCTGTCCCCTCTGCAGAGCCACTCCATGGCAGGCTTTGGCTGCGGGGGGGGGGGCAGGGCCCCATCAGCAGATCCATGGGTGCTGTGGCCAGAGGCCAGGTGGGGTCTGTCAGGGGGACACGGAGCTGCCTGCCCCCTCGGGCACCTCTCTGTGCTGTCCCCAAGGTGGGATCTACTCCCCTCCAGGTCCCCCAGAAGCCAGCAGGGATCCCTCGGAACAGCCCCCGGGACACATGGACTATGATGATGTCGGCAGCAGCGCCCTGGGGACGTTGCCATGAGGATGTCCTGGCCATGCCACAGCCCTGGGGACACGTGTGTGGCAGCGTGATGGGGCCCTGTCCCCAGGGAAGGCTGGCCCTGCCCACAGAGGTCAGCCCTCGCTGTCCAGCGCTGCAGGAAAGCAGCCCTTGTTTAAGGATTATCTTTAATTTCAGTGTGAATTTCCCATTTTTCCTATTAAAACACAAAGTGGACAGAAACTCAGTGCCAGGCCTGGAACATCCTTCTTGGGCTGGCACTTTCATTTTAGGTACACCAGCCACACACAAGGATGTGAGGCAGGAACTGGAACCAGAGACCCCATCCTTGGCTGAGGCGGAGAAATAGTGGGAGATGGCTGGGATTGTCTTCGGGGTCTTTATTTGGCACTGCCAAATGCACAGAACTGCTGCCCCCAACAGCGAGGGCAAAAGGGAGAGGGCAGGAGCCGGATCCCGCCCCGCAGATGCAGCAGGATCTCCTGCCTGTGCCCCGAGGGTGGGGCAGGCTCAGCCCCACTCAGCACGGAGTGCTGGGCCAGGACTGGCTCTGGTTGTTGGAAGGATTTTCCTAAAGGATGGGAGGTCTCCTGAAGGAGGGCAGCGCCTTCGTGCCCCCCGGCAGCAGCCCGCGGTGGCAGGGCAGCCGGGCCATGGCCCTGGCCTGCGGCACGTCGTGCTCCAGGAGGTTCCCGATGTTCAGGCCGGGCTGCAGGGCCCGGAGGGCGTCCAGTTCCTTCCTGCAGCAGGGCCTGGCTGAATCCGTCCGTGCTCAGCCTGGGCGTGGAGGAGGCAGGAGCAGAGGTGTTGGAGCTTGTGGGGAGGGAGGTGCTGAAGGGGCCGCGGTGCCGGTGCGGCCCTGCCTGTCCCGCAGCCTCCGCTGCCCGCCTCGGGCATGCCGGGCATGGAAGGGGCCGGGGCAGGGCCCTGACTCACCCCAGGCTCCTCAGCGGGCAGGCGGGATGCCGGAGCTGCTGGCAGAGCTGCAGGACGCCCTGGGCTCGCAGCTCGTTGTCACTCAGGTCCAGGCAGGTGAGACGGGGCCCCTGCAGCAGCCGCGCAGCCAGGGCCGGGCAGGAGGTGCCCGACAGCCGGCAGCTGCCCAGCCTGTGGGAGCGAGGGAAACAGGGAAGGAGGGCTTTGGCCTCTGCTTGCTGAGCTGCTCCGGGTGGGAAGGGCGGAGCAGTGGCTGAGGTGCTCGCAGCAGCAGGGGCTGCTGAGGCGGCAATACGGCAGCCCAATGAGAGCCCTCGGGAAAGACCCTCAGAGCCTCCCGAGGGGCCCCAGATGTGTCCGTGGAGTCGGAGATCTCCTGTCCGCTGTGGCCGGGTCAGCAGCCAGCCAGCCAGCCGGCCAGTGCCCTCCGGTCCGGGTGCCGCGGCCCAGCCGGGCCGGTGTGGGCTCCGTGCGGTGCGTGCGTCTGTGAGCGGAGCAGCCCCGGACAGGGCCCGGTGCCGCAGGGCCCGGCAGCGCGGGGGGATGGGGCAGGGCAGCTCCTCCCGCCGCCGCACAGCGAGGGACCGGGACGTGGTGCCGGGCAGCAATGGCTGCGCTGCCGGTGCAGGGGCAGCAGCTGCACTTCCAGCTGCTCCGTTTGCTCTGCGCGGCAGCCCGGCACGAGAGTCCGGGAGGTGCCCGTCGTTTGTATAACAAAGAGCCGGAGAAAGCGGGATCCCGGCCAGGTGAGAGACACTGAGAGAGACAGCGGGAGAGGAGGATCGGGAGGAAGAGAGCCTTTAGAGTGAACTTTCTGTGCTTGGAAAGTGAGAGGCTCAAAGCCCTGTTCCTTTGCCTGGGACAATCCTTCGAGGCGGCAGCTGGGGCTGTTTCTGTGTTCCTGCGGGCAGCAGCAATCGGATTTACAGAGAGTCACCTGCGACTGTGCCGTGGGAAAGCCGGGGTGGAACTGGTGAGGAAACGTGAGGTCTGCGTGTAGCAGTGGGTGTTTGGGGAACCTCCGGGGCCAGCGGGGGTCAGTGGAGCCGCAGCTGTGAGTGAATGGGTGTCAGTGCCATGGGAGCAAGCGGATCCCTGCGTTGGGAATGCGCTGCCGGAGAGTCCTGTGAAGGGTGAGCCCGGGACGTTTCCTGCCGTGCGCGGCTGGCGGGCTGCAGGGGCCCGGGGCGGCGGGGCAGGCGCGGCGGGGGCGCGGCGCTGTCGGCGGCAGCGCAGGTGTCGGGAGGCGCGCGCTGTCGCTGGCGAGGCCGGGAGCCGCCGGGGGGTGACCGCCTCCTTCCTGCCCTGGGCGAGGCGAGCGCGGGGCCACAGCCGCGGCAGCGGCGCCATGTGCCAGCGCCGCCGCGAGGGACCGCACGCAGCTGGCAGCTGGCAGCGCCGGCAAGAGCCGGGGGCTGCTGCCACCCCCCCGGGGGCTCCGAGCAGCCGGGAGGGGAGCGCCCCGAGCGTGGGGCTTTGAGCTTTGCAGGTGCTCGACCTAGAAGTGGTTGGCTGGATGCTCTCGGTAGGATGTGGGCTGGAGCCCGTCCTCGCCATCAGGGTGGCTCTCGGCAGGCTCCAGCAGCAGCGTTGGAGCCGCGGGGGATGCAGGAGGGGCCCCCGCAGGGCAGGTGCTGTGGGGGGGCTGTCTCCCCCCGGGGACATCCGGGTGGCAGCCCACTGTGGCGAGGTGTGTGACGGCAGAGGCGCAGGCGAGGCTCATATTTGGGCACGGAGCAGGTTATTGGAGGCCGCGGCCCCGCAGCCGGGAGATGAGGCGCCTGATAAAGGCTGCCCCCCCCCCCCCCCCCCCCGGTGCTGGTGCTGCTGGGTGCATTGGCTCGGGCGCTGGCAGAGGTGCCGTGGCTGCGCTGGCTGGGGGCCGGTGGCCATGGGGCCGCTGCTGGCTCTGGGGCTGCTCGTGTGCGTGCGGCTGTGCGGGGGTGAGTGTCGGGCGGGCGGGAGCGGGGCCCGCGGCGGCGGCGGGCCCGGCTCAGCAGCCTCCGTGCCGCAGGCTCCGCGGAGCTGCGTCTGGTGGGCGGCGGCGGGCGCTGTGCCGGGCGCGTGGAGGTGAAGCACGACGGTGAGTGGGGCTCCGTGTGCGCCTTCGACTTCGACTGGGAGGCTCTGGCAGCGCCACTGGCCGTGGTGGTGTGCCGGCAGCTGGGCTGCGGCCGGGTGGCCAGGGTGTCCCTGCACGCCCCGTTCGGGCCGGGCAGCGGGCGGATCTGGCTGCAGCCCTTCTTCTGCCGCGGCACCGAGGATGCGCTGGAGCAGTGTTCGCCCTTGGGATGGGGACGGCATTTCTGCGGCCACGAGTGGGATGTGGGGGTGACCTGCACAGGTGAGGGGACGTGCTGGCCGTGCTGGCACAGCCACCTTGCGCTAGGGCACCGCGGGCTGGTGTGAGCCGTGCCGGTGCCCCTGTGCAGATGCCGTGGAGCTGAGGCTGGCGGGCGGCGGCAGTCCCTGTGCCGGAAGGGTGGAGGTGAAGCTGCGGGGACACTGGGGCACGGTGGGAGACCACAGCTGGGACATGGCGGACGCCGAGGTGGTTTGCCAGCAGCTGCGCTGTGGCTCGGCTTCCGGTGCCTTCTTCGCCCTTGATCGCTTTGGTGTAGGCATTGGGCCCATCAGCCTGGCTGGGGTGGAATGCAGTGGGGACGAGGCCACGCTCTGGGACTGCAAGATCCATGGCTGGGGGCCCTATAACATTACCATCCATGATTCAGACACTGCCGTAGTCTGCCAAGGTAGGAGCCGGGCTTGAAGGAGTTGAGACTGTTCCTGCACATCTCTTGTAACAGGCCCTGCACTGCTCCCCCAGGCTTTTCCCGGCTGGTTGGTGGCGATGGAGCCTGTGCCGGGCGGCTGGAGGTGCGTCAGGGCCGGGCCTGGGTCGGTGTCTGTGAGGATGAGGTGGACATGAAGGCGGCCCAGGTGGTGTGCAGGGAGCTGGGCTGCGGTGAGGTGATCGCCATCGCCGGCAGTGGGCGTTTTGGGGCAGTGTCGGGATCGCTCTGGGACGGGGGCTTCCGGTGCAATGGCACCGAGCCCCTCCTGAGTGCCTGTGCCCGGCGTCCGGCCCAGAGGCAGGAGTGCAGCGGCCCTGCCAGCGTCATCTGCTCCTGTAAGTGGCGGGGACAGCGGGGGCAGTTGGGGTCCCTGCAGCATCAGTGCTCTCAAGGCTGTTCCTGTGGCAGCCTACACGGGCTTCCGGCTGGGCGACGGCAGCTCGGGATGCGCCGGGCGAGTGGAGGTGGCAGTGAGGGGGACGTGGGGCTCCGTGTGCGCCAGCGAGTGGGACCTGCCCGATGCGCACGTCCTGTGCCGGCACCTGGGCTGCGGCCGCGCCTTCAGCGTGCCCCCGGGAGGCTCCTTCGGCAGCGGGGAGGGGCCGCTGCTGCCGGACGCCTTCGGCTGCAGCGGGAGCGAGCGGCACCCGGGCCAGTGCCCCGTGGCCGTGCTGGGGAAGCCGCCCTGTGCCCCCGGAAACGCCGCCGCCGTCAACTGCTCAGGTGGGTATGGCAGCTCTGTGAAGAGCCTTAAGGGCTTTCAGGACCCCGTCAAGAATTGCGACCAGATGTTTTGGACTGAAGTATGGTGTGAGCCAGGTGCTACAGCCCATGGCTCTGCTGGTGAATTTACAGGCAGTGGCTTTGTCACGTCCCTGAGGCTGGTGGATGGTCAGAGCTTGTGTGATGGGCGCCTGGAGGAGACCATAACCAGCCCAGCCTGGCGCCGTGTGCCTCTGGAGCAGTGGAACCAATGGGATGCGTACATGGTATGTGCGGTGCTGGGCTGCGGCCTTCCCAAGGACGTTTACGCTGCCTTGGGTACGGCTCCGGCATTGAGCAGCAGCCCCAGTGAGGAGGACATCATGAGTGAAGAGATGGGCAGCAGTTTGGGCATGGGCTCTGCACTGAGCAGCAGCCCTGAGGAGATGGATGACCAGCTGGAGGAGATGGGCAATGTGTCAGGGATGGGCCCTGCAGCAAACAGCAGCCTTGAGGAGATGGTCATTGTCTGCTCAGGTGGGTGTCCCGAGAGGGCTGGAGGTGCCGGTGCCCCAAGCAGCCACCCCAGCGCACTCCTTCCGTGCCCACAGGCAGCCTGCGGGTGAGGCTGGTGGGGAGCTCTGGGCGCTGTGCCGGGCGTGTGGAGGTCTATTCCGGTGGCAGCTGGAGCTGGGTGTGCCAGGAAGGCTGGGGGCTGCAGGCCGCGGCCGTTGTGTGCCGGGAGCTGGGCTGTGGCACGGCTCTGCAGGCCCCGGGCTGGGCGCGCTTGGGTGCCGGCGCGGGGCCGCTGTGGCCGTACAGCCCCGACTGCTCCGGCTCCGAGGAGTCTCTGTGGGAATGCGGGCGCACGGAACGGCGCGAGTGCGGGCGTGGCGGCGGGGCAGGGGCTGTCTGCTCAGGTCAGTGCCGGGCAGCCCCAGATCAGGGCCTGGAGAGGCCCCGGGGGGTTCCTGGCCGTGCCGTGACCCCCGTGCCTCCCTTGCAGAGCAGCTCTCCGTGCGGCTGGCAGGGGGCCCTGGGCGCTGCCGGGGCTTCCTGGAGATCTCCTACAACGGCACCTGGGGCCGCGTGTGCGCCAACGGCACCAGCCCCAGCACTGCCAGCACCGTCTGCCGCCAGCTGGGCTGTGGGCAGCGGGGCTGGCTCACAGCTGTCACCGCCCAGGAGCCGACCGAGGCCTGGCTGGCCTGGGTGGGCTGTGAGGACGGGGCCCGCTCACTCTGGCAGTGCCCCTCGGCAGCCTGGCACCTACAGAGCTGCAGGCCAGGCGGGGACACCCATGTGGAGTGTGAGGAGGACAGTGATGGCACCACTGAGGGACACACAACCCCATATCCGGAGGGTGCCAGCAGCACAGGTAGCTCTGCCCGTGCCCGCATCCCCCCCAGCAGGCTGGCTGGGATCCCCCTGGCCTCACTGCCTGCCTGTGTCCCCACAGGTGTCCCCAGAAGAAGGCCCCCGGCAGTGGCTGTGGGGTCTGTGCCTGTGCCCACTGTGCTGTGCGTGGTGCTGGGGACGCTGCTGTGCCTGTCCCTGGGTGCCCTGGCCCTGCTGCTGTGCCGTGCCCGTGCCCGGCGCCGAGGTGTGTCCCGGTGGGTGGGGGTGGGGACAGATCCCGTTTGGGGGTCCAGCGACCCCAGCCCTGCAGAATAGCTCAGAAGGGGCCAGGGGTGATCCCGGTGCCCCCCACAGTGCCCAGGGCCCCAGGTAAGTGCTGCATCTCCTTCCAGGCCCTGGCAGAGCTGCAGATGCCATCTCCAACGCTGTCTACGAGGAGCTGGATTACAAAGCCATTCCCGAGTACCAGGAGGTGCCCACTCCGCCAGGTGGGTGCAGCCCTTGTGCCCCAGTTTTGCCTGCCCTGAAGGCTCTGCCCTGAGAGCCCCACGGCAGCTCTGGCTCCTGGTGGCCCAGCAGGGGCTCCTGGCCATGGGCTGTGGGTGTCCCTTGGTCCCAGAGCAGCCCCACTCTGCGGTGGGAGGTTCTGTCACCAGTGGTGCCACTTGAGGCCACCTCCAAGTCCCTGTTTATCCCCTGCAGGTTCCCTGTTGGAGGGATGGGGGAAGAAGCTGCCGTATTACACAGGGGACAGCGTGGAGGGGAGTGACACCGAGGCAGCCCCAGGTAGGGCCACAGGGCAGGAGCCCAGCAGGGAGAGCTGGGGAGAGGGGACACACCTGGGCTGGGGGGGCTGAGGGGACAAATCTCCTCCCTTATTAATGTGCAGTGAAACATCACCTTTCCCTGCGGGTCCACAGGGCCTCTAGCACGTGCTGAAGTGGAAAGGCTGGAGGGGGTGGCACAGCCTGAGCCCTGCCAGGGCCGCTGGTCACTGCCATGGACCCCTCTGCTTTTCCCAGATCCCCCTGCCTGGCCCGAGCAAGGACCCCTGGATGGCTACGATGATGTCCTGGATGTGCCCCAGGAGCCCCCCGCTGCCAGCAGTGGGGACATCTCCAAGGGAGTGGCAAGGCAGGGGTGGAGCTGTGTGCTCCCCACAGGTGAGAGGGCTCCCAGCTGCCCTGTCCCCTGTGCAGAGCCACTGCATGGCAGGCTTTGGCTGCGGGGGGGGGGGCAGGGCCCCATCAGCAGATCCATGGGTGCTGTGGCCAGAGCCCAGGTGGGGTCTGTCAGGGGGACACGGAGCTGCCTGCCCCCTTGGGCACCTTTCTGTGCTGTCCGCAAGATGGGATCTACTCCCCTCCAGGTCCCACAGGAGCCAGCAGGGAGCCCTCGGAACAGCCCCCTGGACACATGGACTATGATGATGTCGGCAGCATCGCCCTGGGGACGTTGCCATGAGGATGTCCTGGCCATGCCACAGCCCTGGGGACACGTGTGTGGCAGCGTGATGGGGCCCTGTCCCCAGGGAAGGCTGGCCCTGCCCACAGAGGTCAGCCCTCGCTGTCCAGCGCTGCAGGAAAGCAGCTCTTGTTTAAGGATTTTCTTTGATTTCAGTGTGAATTTTCCATTTTTCCTATTAAAACACAAAGTGGACAGAAACTCACTGCCAGGCCTGGAGCATCCTTCTTGGGCTGGCACTTTCATTTTAGGTACACCAGCCACACACAAGGATGTGAGGCAGGAACTGGAACCAGAGACCCCATCCTTGGCTGAGGGGGAGAAATAGTGGGAGATGGCTGGGATTGTCTTCGGGGTCTTTATTTGGCACTGCCAAATGCAGAGAAATGCTGCGACCAACAGCGAGGGCAAAAGGGAGAGGGCAGGAGCCGGATCCCGCCCCGCAGATGCAGCAGGATCTCCTGCCTGTTCCCCGAGGGTGGGGCAGGCTCAGCCCCACTCTCAGCACGGAGTGCTGGGCCAGGACTGGCTCTGGTTGTTGGAAGGATTTTCCTAAAGGATGGGAGGTCTCCTGAAGGAGGGCAGCGCCTTCGTGCCCCCCGGCAGCAGCCCGCGGTGGCAGGGCAGCCGGGCCATGGCCCCGGCCTGCGGCACGTCGTGCTCCAGGAGGTTCCCGATGTTCAGGCCGGGCTGCAGGGCCCGGAGGGCGTCCAGTTCCTGCAGCAGGGCCTGGCTGAATCCGTCCGTGCTCAGCCTGGGCGTGGAGGAGGCAGGAGCAGAGGAGAAGGTGTTGGAGCTTGTGGGGAGGGAGGTGCTGAAGGGGCAGCGGTGCCGGTGCGGCCCTGCCTGTCCCGCAGCCTCCGCTGCCCGGCTCGGGCATGCCGGGCATGGAAGGGGCCGGGGCAGGGCCCTGACTCACCCCAGGCTCCTCAGCGGGCAGGCGGGATGCCGGAGCTGCTGGCAGAGCTGCAGGACGCCCTGGGCTCGCAGCTCGTTGTCACTCAGGTCCAGGCAGGTGAGACGGGGCCCCTGCAGCAGCCGCGCAGCCAGGGCCGGGCAGGAGGTGCCCGACAGCCGGCAGCTGCCCAGCCTGTGGGAGTGAGGGAAACAGGGAAGGAGGGCTTTGGCCTCTGCTTGCTGAGCTGCTCCGGGTGGGAAGGAGAAAGCTCTGCATAAGAAGGAGGGAGCACTTGCCCATCCTGCAGCCCCTTTACCGCAGTGTCTGTAGCGGGCAGGCACATTTCTGGAGCCCCTCACACAGCAGCTCCACGCCGGCATCGCGCAGGCCCTCGCTGAAGGACAAATCCAGCTCCTCCAGGGAGGTGTTGGTGCCCAGCACAGCGGCAAGGTCATCGCAGCTGGCACTGGTGATGCGGGAATACCGCAGCCTGATGGGAACCCCAGGAAAACCCTCAGATCCTCCTGAGTGCTCTTACTGCCATCCCACCATGGTAGCATTCCCCACCCTGGTGCCACAACCTTGCTGCTCCTTGGCCTGAAGTGTGGGACAGAGGCACCATGCCACCCCAGGTGGACCCTCTGTGGTGTCTCCCGAGCTCTCACGTCTGGGAGTTCTGAGGGACTCTGGGGGTACTCACCGCAGGATGCGCAGGCGGCAGCCCGGAGTCCGCAGCCCCTCACAGAGGAGGCGCACGCCACTGTCACCCAGTGAGCTGTCAGCCAGCTCCAGCTGGGCCAGGCCCGGGTGCTCTGCCAGCAGCGCTGCCAGCTCCGCACAGCAGCTCTCGGACAGCCGGCACCACTGCAGCCTGCGGGAGAGCACGGACAACAGGGGCTCAGCACATCTCACCTGTCCTGGCTGCCCACCTGCCCACCAAACCCTCAAGTAAAGGGGGCCTGGCCTCCCCCTGGCTGCTTTCCATTGTCCCCAGGGAGCAGCAAGGCAGCACCAACCCACTCACCCCCTGCACTGTGGTCCAGGTGTCCCCACCCACAGCCCGGATCCCAGCCCTGGTTTGGGCTCCATGTGCGTCTCTCACCGGAGCACCTGCAGGGCACTGTCCCGGTGCCGCAGAGCCCGGCAGAGCAGGTGGATGGGGCAGGGCAGCTCCTCCCGCTGCCGCACGACGAGGGCACCAGGATGTCCTCCGGCTCCTGAGACTCCAGAGCTGCAGGGAAACAAGCCGTGGTGCTGGCAGCTCCTGGTTCTGACACCAGCACACAACCCCCCCACCCTGAGCAGAACCTCCAGCTTCTCCAGAGGGACCTTTGTGGCTTTGGAGGAGCGAAGGACCTCAAGCATTGCTGCTGGAGCCACCCAGAGATATAAGGTGAGTCACAGGGCGCATTTAACATTCCAGCACAAGGGATCCCCCTTTTCAAGGGAGAAGGGGGATGATGGGAACTCAGAGTGACAGCTGGGCACATGTGGGCCTGGCCAGGTCGAGCCAAGAAGCTCCATCACTATCAATTCCACAGTGGGCAGCGGATGGAGGAGCCCATGTGTTCCTTATTCTCCCCAGGAATAAGTAAATCCCCTGCTTGTGGAACCAAACACCCAGGGAAAGGCCAAACTGGTGTTCAGGAAGGAGGAGCTGAATCATCCTTTGGGACAGAGGAAGAGAAATCTTTGCAGTTTTGGGTCATTAAAGCAAGGAGGAGCAGGACTTACCAAGGCACTGACACATCCAGCTCTGCCTCAGGATCCCGCCAGTGAAAGGAGCATCCCTGGAGGGTGACGGAGCCCAGCCCAGCCCAGTGCTGGATGCAGAAGGAAAGAGCCATCTGGTCGTACAGGGTCAGCCTGGTGTCCTGCAAGTCCAGGTCAGTGAAATGACCCAATGCACTTTGTGCAAAGCTCTTCTCATTCATCTCGAACAAGAAGTGGAAAGTGTCCATCTCCGAAACCTTCAGTGCTTGGCCAGGGTGGGAGAGGCCTCTGTGCCTCCTCTGAAGCCACTCCAGCAGCTCTTCCCTGGCTCGTGATGAAATTCTGCACCCCATGGTTTTGTCCATGTACTCTATGGATTTCTGGCTGACCAGACCAAAGAGGAATTGCACTATTACATTCAAATCCTTTCTGGACTTGTTGTAGCTTTCTAATAATTTATTTACATCCTTCTCAAGCCTCCCCAGGCTGCTGATTGTTTCCCCATCATCCTCCAGAACGTAGAACATTGCTGCAAAAAACTCCTGGAGGTGCAGGTGGGTGAAAGCATAGACACTCTCATGGTCTTCTCCTTCCCTTGGGATTCTTTGATTGAGGAAGTAGGGAAGAAGACCTGGCAAGTCCAAGCCACAGCCCTTGATTTCCTTCTCCTCAAAGAGGACCTTGTGCTTCCAAATACCCTCGGCAGCCAAGGAGCAAAGTTGGAGTAGGAACTGCTGGAGGACCTGTGGGTTGTCCCTGTCCCTGTGCTTCAGTAACTGGGAGAGGTAGAACATCATCATCCCTGTGGTGGTTTTGGAGCACTCAAGGAGGTTTTTCTTCCCACAAAGCTCTTGTTCAAGGATGGTGCAGATGGTCCAGCTCATGATAGGGATGACACACAAGCTATAGAGGATCTCGTTGCCTCTGACAAACCTGAAGGCCGCGTCTGCTTTGTTGGGGTTTTCAAAATACCTATGGAAATACTCCTCCCTCCTGGCTGCCGAAAATCCCAGTATCTCCACATAATTCTCACCCTTCAGGCACTGCCTCAGGCTTCCAAGAGCTGTTGGCCTTATGGTGATGAGCAAAGAAGCTTTGGGGAGCAGAGTCTTCTTCAACAAGCTCATAAGGGTGAGCTCCAGAGGCTTCACCTCCCTGGGGTCAGAGCTCAGCTCAGCTTCGGGGTGAACCAAGGAAAACCCCAGGGCCTCAAAGCCATCAAAAATGAACAGGATCTTCTTCTGGTCATCCAGGATCTTCCCAGCTGGCACTTGCAGGCCAGGACAGCACTGTGAAACCAGGTTTGCTATGCTGGCTTCCATGGGAAGGATGATGGCTTTGCAGTCAATGCAGAAGACAAAGTCAAACTGCGTGTGGAGTGCCCCTTCTCCCCACTCCACCATCACCTTCCTGACCATCATTGTCTTCCCCATCCCTGGGGCCCCCACCAGCACCACGACCTGTGGGGTTTGCCCATCTCCACTGGGTTCAAACAGCATGGTGGTGGTGGTGGCTGCTCCGCTGCTGGCACTGGTACATCCCTGGCTGGTTCCCACAGCTCCATCCTTGGCTCCGTGCTTGCTCTGAGGCTCCCTGGTGATGGTCAGGGTGGTGAAGTGGCTGTGGAGGGAGAGGCTCTCCCTGGGACAGGCGCCCAGCTCCCTGTCCTGGCGGGACTCCCGGACCATGTGCTCTCTGCTGTCCCACCTGTGCTCTGTGCCAAGAGGAGCAGGGTCAGTTCCCAGCCCAGAGAAATTCCCCACCAGCCCACCTGTGCTCCCGACACACCAGCAGCTGCTTATTTCAATGCTCAGTGCTCTCCTAAGTCTGGCTGTGGCACTAAGGACACAGTTTGTGAGGATTTGGGGACTCTGGTAGGTTGAGCGTTCTTCTGATCCTTGTTTATTAACCCTTGTTTTATCATCCTCATCCACCTGGGAGTAAATGCAACTGTCTGGGGCTGCCCTGCATGCTTCAGGGGACAAAGGCTCCAGAGCACAGACCTCTGCAGAGATATCCTTAATCCCCATCCCAGGAGGAACAAATCTGCCCAGGCGGCTGCTGGAAAGTGCTGAGAGCACTGGGTGAGCTTTAAGGTCACTTCCAACCCAAACCATTCTGTGATTTTAAACAATGCAAGAGGAATTACAAGCCCATGTAATTCACTGCAAGGATGAGCTGCCTGGACAGAGCTGGGTGACCCTGTCCCCAGAACAGCTTCAACAAGGAGTGCCCAGGACTGAACTCAGAGCCCAGGCCCATGCCAGCTGGTGGGGAGGCTCCAGGTGAGGCTGCTCAGCATTCCAGGCTATAAATAGTACCCCAGGGGGAGCAGGGCTTGGATTTTCACTGCAAGGACTTCCTGCTGCCAGGGAAACCCACCTTGGGTGCTGCAGCAAGTCATTCCACTGTGAGAAATGTCCTTCATCCTGCTTTCCCGGGAGTTTGAGGTATGGACAAACGGTGCTGCCCAAACAGCCACAGGGTTTTGCTGCTACGTGGCTTTTTCCCCCTTCTCCAGCTGTGGGGTGGGTTGTAACTGGGGCCCTAGGAAAGGAGAGAGGCTCCTTTAGGATCTTTGGATGCTCAGGGATGAAAGGGGTGTGAGCCTGTGCTGTGACCTGCTCTCCTGGTTTGCCTGCTCCAGTTTATGCACAGGGCACCTTTGTCTGGATTAGGAGGGGGTAACCCACCCGATGATTTTATTTTCTGTGAGTGATGACTTTCTTTCCATGATGGGGGAAAAAAAAAGCTTCAGGATGACGTGTTTAGCAAAGCAGCCTGTGAGGGATACTGGGAAAGGGAGAAAGGATGTTTTAAGGCACACTGGGAGTTTAAGGACTCCTTATGGACTTCTTATTTCCCTGCTCAGAGCCAGACATTACACTGTCCCTCCTGCTTGCAGGACGTCAAATAGTTCTGGGGATAACTGTTTCCTTGTCCAAAGGAAATGGTCTCAAGTGTGTCAGGGGACATTTAGATGGAATATTTGGGAAAATTCCTTCACTGAAAGGGTTGTCCAGTCCTGGCACAGCTGCCCAGGGCAGTGGTGGATCCCCATCCCTGGAGGGATTTAAAAGCTGTGTGGATGTGGCACCCAGGGACAAGGGATAGTGATGGCCTTGGGCAGTGCTGGGGAATGTTTGGTCCTGATAACCTCAGAGGGCTCAAACAATTCCACGATTCTATGTTCCTTCCCATGGATGCTGCTGCCACCAACGTTCCCCTGTGGGTTTTGCAGGGGGAGCTCCCCAGGAACCAGGGCTGTCCTTATCCCTGCTAACTCCTCCTGGGAGGTGCTGTGAGCAGAGGGGGAGGGGGCAAATCCAGCAGCACCGTTTCTAAAGGTTTCCCACTCCCTCTGACCTTGAAAAAGCCATTTTCACCTTGCTGTGTCTCAGCCAGGGCTGCCGCTTGCTGTGCCTGCGCTGCATTAGGGGGGATGTGACTCTGCCACGGGGAGATGGGGGAAGTGTATTGTTTTTACAGCTTTTCCTTCACTTCTCTTTTTCCTACCTCAGTTAAAAAAAAAAGTTTACATTCAGAATTTAAATGTAACGTGAATTCCGGTCTGAGGCGTGTGAGAGCATCACGTGGGGCTGTTTATCTCCTAAGGCAGAGGCAGAGTGTGTGATCACAAGGAAACCACTGCTGGAACCCCTCATCCAGGCTCTGGGGACAAGACCCGGTAGTTCCCACTTGCAGGAGGCTCCCTCCCTCCTCCTGCCACCTTGAGGATATTCCTGCCTGATGCAGAAGTAGCAAAGAGATTTTGCTAGGGAAGCAGTGGTTTGGGGGTGTCCCTTGCATTAAACTGTGGATTTCCACCAGCTTTGCAGGGATTCAGCCCCTCTGCTGCTGTCATTAGGTCAGCGGATTTGGGAGGCGTTAAGAAGGGAAGCAGCTGTTTGGAGCCATGGAAAGGTCCTGTCTGTGCCTGGCACAAGTCTCTGAAAAAGCAGGGAGTGCTGGCACTGCTGAGTGCAGGACCAGACAGGGAACAGAGGGTACATCGGCTTCAGCCACAGCTAATCCTGTCTGTGCCAGCCTGTCTGAGCCCAGCTGGCTCCTGGAGCCAAGGACTACAGAAGGAATAACCTTGCTCATCCCTGCCCCAAGGGGGTGTGGGTAGCTGCATCCCAAAACAGGCCCTGGAAGCACAGCCTGTCCTGGGAGATTTAGGTTCTTGCATCCAGCCCCTCATTCTGCAGCTCTCTTCAAACACAGGCATGATTTTTCTTTGCAGTGGGATTTAAGCAACCTGAGTATTTTTTAGACATGATATGCACCTGGCTGGTTACTGGTGGGTGGTTGGTGGGTCCCAAGTAACTGATGGAGGCAGATGGGCAAGTAGCACACAGCCCAATTTGCTCTGAAATAAGGGCTAAAAGAGCTCCAGACAATCCCAGAACCTGCTGAGGTTTGGGGGACAAGCAGGAAGTGACACAGGGATGGGAACCATCCCAGTACTGGTTGGAGGGGTGAGGCTGTAACAGAGAAGTATCTTTGCTTTTAGCTGGTGAGGATGAGGAGGAGGTGGCTGTGTCTGGCAGTGCCTGGCTGGCTGACAGCGCTCTGCAGTGGGACTGGGCTGTGTGCCCGGCTCTGGTCTGGGAAGGGGTGTCAAATCCCAGCCTGCTGGGACAAGGAGCAGTCTGGGGAGAAGGGAAGCAGAGCTGGCATAGAATTACCCCAAGGTGCAGCATTTCAGTGTCCTCCCTGCACTGTGCAGAGCTTCTCCTTGGCAAGTCAGTTTTACATTCCTTAACTCACTGCCTGGGATCATCTCAGTTGGAAATCCCTTGTCCGGGTGGGGGGAAGCTCATACTCCTATTGCCTGTGATGTACACAGAGGCATCCCAATTTATCAGGCCAGCCTGCTCCCAGGTATTTTTCCCTGTGTGTCCTCCCCACTTTGTTGCTATGTTTCATGCAATTGCTGCAAATCCAGGCAGGATTTGGAGGAGAAACAAACAGAGCAGCAGAGGGGTCAGTGCCGCAGGGACGGCCCTGAACTGCTGAGCCAGCTCAGTCCCAAATGACAGAGGATGTAGAGATGCAGCTGGGCTGCCTTCACCACCCTGTGGCCCCCCCTCGGCACCCGGCCCCTCCAGATCCCAGCCCTTCCTTCTGGATTGGAGCGCCCTCTCCCCCCCTCCCTGCTCTCCATCGTCATGCAGTCTGCAGAGGTGCATTGTGGGAAACTCCCAAGTTTCCCCCCCACCCTCTGCCTGCCTCCCTCCCTCCTCTCTGCGCAAGAGCCAGCTCCCAAGGTGTGACTGGTCCGGCCGGAGGACAGAGGTAAGGGATGCCGCTGGGACGGGGGGCGCGGGTGGAAGGGCCGGGGCTCCCAGCTCGGGGACGTGCGGATGTCCTGCGCAGGGTGACAAAGAGAAGCGGAGACGTGGAGCTACCTGCCCAAGGTGAGTGTGCACCTCCCGCAGCCGCCCGGGATGGAGGCCGGGCTGCCATGCCCGCTGCCTCTGGAGCGGGCACCCCGCAGCTTTCCCCGTGAGAGGCAAAAAGATCCTTTTTGACCCCAGACAAGGAGCGCGGTGAGGATGGCCGGCCCCGAGAGGCTCCCGTCCCGTCCCAGCTCGCACGCTTAGCTCGCTGAAGGTCAGGCAGGCACAGGAGGCGTTTCTGCACACGCACGGGTGCCTCCCGGCCGCTTCCTGCCCGCAGCTTCCCGCACGTACCTGCAGCCTCCCCGCCGCCGCCTCTGCGGGCTGTGCCGCGCAGCCCCAGCGCAGCCCTCCCTGCTCCGAGCCCGGGCCGGGCCAAGGACAGGCCCTGGATGCCGCAGAGCGCTCCGGAGGCAGGAGGGCGGCGGGCACGGGGAAGCGGCGCCGGCCATGTGCCGGAAACAGGGCTGCTGGGAGGGAGGAGGGGAAGCAGCATCCCGGGCTGAGCCCCTCCAGCCTTGGCAGGAGAGCTGCCGCACCTCCCCGGAAGGGTTTGAGCGTTTTCCAGCTGCTTTCCCCCTCCCATCTGCATAGACAGAGGGATTTGTTTGCCTTGTGCTCTGCCTGGATGGATTTAACGACTCTGTTTAATTCTGTCAGTCGTGAGGCAGGAGGGGAAGCGTGAAGAGCCGGCAGCTTGGGTCAGCCGTCGCCTTTTCCCAGGAAAGGGGGATGTTTTGTTGGGCAGGGAGAATCTGATATCAATTAGGGGATGTATCCTTTGATTTGACCCTGGGCTTGTGCTGGAGAGGAACTCACAAAGGGAAATCTGCCCCCAAAAACCCGCAAAGGGAGGAAGATGTCAGAGGCAGCAGTGCCTGTTAAAACAGGGAGAATATTGCACCGAAGGAATGGGAGAGGGGTGGATACCAGCCCAGGGCTCCTGAGTCACGGTGGGTGCTTCCAGGGAGGGAATGCTTCGGGAATGTCTCAGGCTCTTCAGTCTGATGTCCCTGCTCTCTGTGCATCCATGCGCATCCCTGGGATGTGTGCTGGCAGGGACCTGTTGATTTGCTCCTGTTTACTTCTCTGTCCCTCTGGTGGCTTCTGGGGAGGTGCTAAGGGGGAAAGAAGAGGATTTTTAAAATTGAATCGAGGTCAGGCTGGCAGAACTTGGGCACTGGGACAAGAGGAGGAAACCTCCCCGCCGCAGCCCCGCTTTCCTGGGTGGGGCTTGGGCAGGATGCAGTCAGGAGAGGGAGGATGGACTATGCCGGATTAAGCTCCCTGCTCCAGCTCAGGACTGACCTCCAAAAGTCTGACCTTCACAGGTTTGACCTTCAATGTTTTCCAGCTGTCCTTTCTCAGCCACGGTACCCAACACCAACATCTAACCCTGTGATATTGTGGTAGGGTGGGGGAAGAAATCCCAATTCTCCCCTAAAACTGCATTTTCATCCCGCTGCATCCATTCCCTCCCCTGTCAGGCTGCTGGGATGTGGGGCTGGAGAACACCCTGGCACATTGTTCCCATCCTGGATCAGGTGTTGGGGCTGGCAGACAGGGTGGAGCTCCCTGAGCAGGGATTTCCATGCTGGAGGAGCTTTGGCCATCCTTCCCCAGATGCTTTCCAGCTTTCTGCTGGGAAGGAGAATGCCCTGGTGTTGCTGCACAAGGTAAGGGATGGGTTTTACCCCAGAGAGTGTGGGAGCCTCCCTGGAAGGTCACTGCCTCGTGTGGAATTGGCCTCTTGTCTGCCTGCAGTGGCTTCTTAGATTTCAGCTGCAGAGCAACAGTTTTCAGACTGATGCCTGCAGATCCAGGGGCTGCCAGATTCCAGACCCAGCTCTGCATGTGAGGAATTGCTTCCAGAATCTTTCTGCTGGCCCCAGCTGAGCCACAAAGGGGGTGATGCCGCATCAGGCATAAGGGATGGATTTAGGATGCCCATAAACTGGGGAGGGATGTTGAATTTGCTGCTGCTTCCTGCAGTGGTTGGGGCTATTTCACTGTGTCACATATATCCTTCATCCTTTTTTGCTTGTGGATATTGAATTTGGGATGCAGGACTGGGAAGAAGATGCCTTAACAGCAAGTTCCGTCAGAAAGGGAATCAGCCTCCTGAAGCTGGGGACTGGCTTGTGGCTGCTTGGGGAGCAGCACCCCAATTTGGAAGCATCTGCCCTCTTCCCAAAGGCTTTTCCCAAGTCCTGGCAGGCCTGGGGTAAGGAGCAGGGCTTTGTGGTGGGAAGGAATGGGTGTTCACCATTTTCCAAGAGGCAGGGAATGTTTGCTGACCCTGTCACATTATCCCTGAGCTGGCACCACAGGCCCAGAGCTGAGCAGGAAACCAAGACAAGCCCCATGGCCCCAGCCAGGGTGTTGCTGGAATCGAATTTTTGGCTCTGGGAGGGCTGGAAAAACATTATAAAGAAATGAACTGAGTATGTTTGCAAAAGTCAAAACAGGAGGAGTTGCTCAGGGTAGGGTTCAGGATGCACCCAGATCCCTGTGAGGTGTCATGGGTTAAGGCTCCAAGATTCCTGTTGCTGCAGTGTCTCCCAAAGTCTTCCCCATTATTGTTCCAGTGCTTTGATCCAGTGTCCTGACAAATAACTGAGAAGCCTTTCCTTTGTGCCCTGAATTTCTGTCTTGGGGTGAGGGACGCCCAGCCCTGCCAAGGGAGAGGCTCAAGATCTAACACCTCGTGGTTTTTTAACGGTAAAAGCGACAGTTTTGCTCTGCGACAAAAAACTGAAACTATACAGGGGAAAAGAGAAATTGATTTTGTGTCTGAGAGAAGTTCAAACCCAAGATTAAAGTGAGATTAGCACAGCAAATTGAGGTGCTCTGAACTCTGTTTTAAGAGCTTGCAGACTGTGCTGGGACCCTGAGGAGCCAGGCTTTGCAGCAGGGTATTTCCAACCCAGCCTCAGCTACATATTTCCAGATTCTGTTGAATTCTAGAAATTATTTTGCTGTAAGATGTGTCTGAGAGTGCAAGCTGTATGGGGGAGGCTGGTGGCACTTGAGGGGCCTTCCCAGGTGTGACTTCTCCTGCTAACAGCAGGCCAGGGCCGTGCCAGCTGTGACTCAGTGCCCACCCCTAGGGAGTCAGTCGGAGCACGTGGCTGGAGACAAAATCTCCTCTCTCCCACGGCTGCTCGGCAGCGCCTGGTTTTTGCTGTGCACGTGGCTGTATACAAACAGGGATTCTTACCAGGGTGGGTTGGAGCTGTGTTTGGGGTTAAACCCCTCCAAAAGAACACAGGTTGAGCCCCTGGTAGGAGTGTGGTGTGTCTGCAATGCTGCCTCCATCTCTCAGAGAATAAAATGTCTGCCACATCCATCCCAGGAGCTCTTTGGGGACAGGATGTGTGTGGTTTGCAGAGGTGACGCTCAGCTCAGAGCTTGTCATCTGCAGAGGTTGTGGTGTAGAAAAAGACCATATATGTCCTGTTCCTGGGCTCTTTCTGGTGGGGAGACTGAAGTGCTGTGTCACCTGTGTGGGCAGCATGGCTGGGCAGCCTCCTGAGAGGACACTGGTAATGGTGTCACACCTCTGTGCAGCTGGTGGCCCAGGATCTGCATCCCAGAGCCCTTCCCTTTGCAAATGGAGGGCAAAGCTGCCTTTACTGGGCTACAGGAACCTGTCCTGTTCCCTGACCTCACCTTGGTGCCAGGTACAACCCAATCTCTGAAGGTGGATGCCTTGCCCAGCCTGGAGAGAGGGGACATGGCTTGGTGGCGCTGGGAGTGGGAAGGGGGGACCTGGCCATGCTCTGGGGGCTGTGGGGGTTGTGGGTACAGATTTTTGGGCACTGCCAGCACCAGCTGAACCAGTGAGGAGCACGCTGGGGCTCTGAGCAGCTGCAGGAATTGCCGCAGCCATGGAGCAGAGGCTTGGCTGGCAGATCTCCCCCCGTGGCAGCAATTTGAAGCTGCTGCCACTGCTAAAATACTTCCAGCATCTGACACTCTCCATAACAAGATTCAAAGGGCTTGTTTGAGAGGGAAATGTTTAATCCAGGGATTGGGGGAGGGATGTGGGGAGTAACAAACAACAGATTGGGAAAAGGATTCATAAATATCTCATCAGAGTGAAGTGGGTCAGCAGTGTTTGCTGTGACTGGGTGCTGCTGTCTCTGAGGGTTGGATTTGGGAGGGCTGGGAAGCACAGCAGGCTCCTGTACAGTCTGTCCCTGGCTGTGCAGCACTGAGGCTGTTCAGAAGCGTCTGTGACAAGTGACTCTGCTGGCGTGGGGTTTGCGTTGCGTTGTGTCACGTTTGCCGTGCGTTGCGTCAGGAGCTGGGGGCTGAAATAGCCTGGAAGGGAGCTAAAAATCCTCCTTGGGGAGCTGCCCATGGCAGCTGAGAGAACACAAGCTCCTTATGTAAAGCTGCTTTAATATTTATGGTAATATCAGAGGCGGTGCATTACCTCATCCCTCTTCGCTGCACTTCTTGGGCATGGGGAATGGCTTAGTCACTACTCTGCTGACCTTCTCCTGGGTGCTTGCTTGGTATCTCCCTGCCTTTAACACATTTGTTCCCCCAGCAGCTCAGAGAAAGGGAGAAATGCTGGTTTTCCCCATTGGGAATGGGGAGTTGAAGCACCAGAAATGATGCTCAGTTTCAGGAGGGGACTGGACACAAATCCTTCCAGCCCTGACAGATCACTCCACGTGTGGCAGAGGGGACAGGCACAGACCCCTGAGGACACGTCCCAGAGGACAGAGCGGTCCAGGCTGCATTCCTTGGGGGTTAGATGAGAAGATGGAGGAGAGTGGGATTGTGAGAGTGCTGGGAAAGGAGCTCCCTCTGCTGCTCCAGAGCCACCTTTGGTGCCAGCTGCTGTTTCCTTAGGGAGGGCAAGTGTCTGTCTGTCCTGTGCATGAGGGGATGACTGCCTTGCTTCCAGACAGGCAGGAGTGATAAAGAAAGGAGGAGCAGATTAGGGGATGAGGGGGAGGATTTGAAGATTTTTCCTGCCGTCTCTGGCTCTTTCTTCACAGCATTGCTCCAGGTCAGATGTGGTCAGTAGCTGTTTCCAAGATGGATGTTTCCAGCTGGAGGACACCTGGAGTGCAGGGATGGACCTTTGTTGCAGGATAAATCCTGGTACATAACCCCACTGTGCTGTTAAATCCTTCCTTGCTGCCAGTCTCAGTGTGGCAGTTGAGGACCTGATGGAAATGGGTTGCTTTTCATGACAGAGGGAAAAACCCTGGGGATGAGCTTCCCACTGCACCCCAGACCCACACCCTGGAGCAGCTCCTCGCTCTTGCAAAGTGACTGAGTTTTCCTTCCAAATGGAAGCAGCAGGGGAGGATGAGGGGATTTGGAGATGGGATGCATCCCTGCAGAGGGAAGGGGCCATGCTGATGGAGCTGTGCTGTGGCACAGATTTGGAGCTGGGATGGGGCTGGTCCCTGCAGAGGGAAGGGGCCATGCTGATGGAGCTGTGCTGTGGCACAGATTTGGAGCTGGGATGGGGCTGGTCCCTGCAGAGGGAAGGGGCCATGCTGATGGAGCTGTGCTGTGGCTCAGCTCAGCAATGACTCATCCGCTGCGCTCGGTGCAGGATTGATGCAGCTTTCATCTGTGCACGCAGGAGACAGATGAATAGATGTGTTTGGTGATTTGCTGGGATTTGAGGCAGGAAAGTGCCCTTCAGGGAGCCAAGGGAAGCTGCTCCTCTGCTGGCCTGTTGCTCCAGTGGAGGGCAGCTTGTTGCACTGGGTGAGTCTGACTGCACTGACCTTGAGAGCATCCCAGGGGAGCTGTGGCGTTTGTGTGCCAATCTTTGCAGCAGCAGCAATTTGGAAGGCTTTCCTTTTCCTTTTTCTCCTTGATCATCCCTGGTTTTATTACACCAGTTCCCTCTTCCCTGCCTGGGAAAGAGCTGGTTAGCTGCTGGAAATGAGAACCTTCCAGAAAGGGCACTGATTGTTTAAGAGAAATAGTGTGGAGCAGGGAAAAGGGAGGGAATGAAGCCTGTCTCCCACAAAATCTTATTCCCAAGTGCTGCTGCCTGTGTAGGAGGCAGAGAGGGAGATGAAGGGGGAGGAATGGGTAGACAGGCAGAGACAGCAGCTGACAAGAGAAAAGGGAGGAATAAAAAGATGTGAGGAGCTATAAAGAAGAAAGCAAAGGTAGGAAAAATGTGTCATTAGAGAAAAACTTGGTGTGATGGAATGAGGGAAGAGGAGGAGACAAAGGAATAGGGGGAACCCTCACATTCAGGCTTAGTTTTTTGAAATGAGGAAAGCACTTCTTTCTTCAGTCTGGGAGAGACAGAGGTGCTTAAAGATGAGCCCATGGTCATGCCCTTGGAAGTACAGGATGGAGAGGAGTGACGATTCCCAAGGTAGGAGCGAAGAGCACATAGAAGAGGGTTAAGTACTGGGATGGAAGAGGATGTGCTGCTAAGGGTACCCAGGAGCCAGAGAGGAGCCAGGCCAGAGGGTCTGGAGAGGTGCTGGGTGATCCTGTGGCTACTTGCAGTGATGGAAAACCACAGGCAAAAGCCCTTTATGCAGGCACTTAAGAAATGCTGATATTGATTTTTGGCTTAGTTTGGTTTCTACATCTTTTAAAACCTTTTCTAAGCTGTGTGATGGGTTTGTGTTGCTTTTAGTGGAAATGCACTTAGAATCAGGAAATTCTGTTTGTGGCAATGCAGGGCATGGCAGCAGGACAAAGCTCCTGCCTCCATGGCTCCAAGCAAAACCAGCTTTTGTGCCCCCAGGAATCTGGAGCAGTGAGGGGTGTGGATAAACCTTGAGGTGCCTGGGCTGTGCAGGGTCCCCATTTCTCAGCAAGAAGGTGAGTTTGCCCTCCCTGATTTGCACCAGCTGAGGATCTGGCACTTTGTTTTGCTGTTGCTCTACCAAAATGCTGGTAGAAATAATCCTTTTATCTCTGCTATCTGTGAGAACTGAGAAACTAATGCTGCTTTTCCTGCAGTACCCATCTGGAGGGGGAGTATCACACAAGATCACGTTTTACCTCACAATCTCCATAGGCTGTACATGATTTTCCTAGGGAAAGAGCAGAAGTTTAATGCTTGGTCCATGTGCTGTAACCACACGAATGTCAGAGTGTGTGAGTGGCCCAGTTAACTGATATCAAAGTGACAAAGAAGGTAAATTAATATTTATGCCACAATTAATCTGACCCTCCCTGCTTTAACCTCTGAGCCCATTTCAATTGTGGGCTCCACTTACTATTTCTTTGTGTATCATTGTGCCAGATTGAAAAAAAAAAAAAAAAAAAAAAAAAGGATAAATTGGTCCCAAACCAGAGGAGCAGAGTCCTGGGAGTGACTGTGTGCAGCCTCAGCTCTGGATTTATGTAGGACTTGTGCTGACAGAGCACTATGGATGCTCTCTAGAAGCACAGGAAAAGGTGAGGCAGGTGGTATCTACAGAAATATCACAGAATGAGCACTGGGAGGAAAATATTCTTGCACTTGGCCAGGCCCTTGTTTCCCTCCCACGCCCCAAGCCACAGTGAGGTCTGAAGCTGGGGGAGCATCTGGGGTGGTGTTTGTATGGTACAGGATGCCCAAATGTCTGATACACACTCAGCAAGCTGTGAGGGAGGCACAGTTTGGGCTTTCCAAAAGGGTTTAGTTTCCCAAACTAGGGAATGCTGCAGTCAATGACAAATACAGGGTTTTATGGTCACCAGGCCTACTGCAGCGTGAGGAGCTGGGCTGGAAGATCCTTGTGTGTCCCTTCCAGCTTAGGATATTCTGTGAGAGTTGTGGAATTCCAGGATTTTGGTGCTGCAATTCCCTCAGTCTGCTCTAGCCGACTGGTGGCCACCAAGCAATGGCTGGCAAGGGAGAGCAGGAGAGGGAGGTGTTTCCATCTTACACTTAGGAGCCATAAGGTGTTGCTCAGCTTTGCTCTAGTCCCAGACCTCTCACCTCTTTGAGATTTCCTCCTTCCTAAATGGATATGAAGGCGCCATGTTTGTCAGCCTCTTTCCCAGAAGAGTCAGCAGCACAGATCATTGGTGCAGTCCTGGGACCTTGTTCCTGCCATTAGAGGAGTGATCTGCCCTCTGAGCCGCTGTGGAAGGAACCTTGGCTGGCTGAGGTTTTTGAGGAGCCTCTTCAGCTCTTGATCCAGACAATGAGCTCTGGTTTCACTTAGCAGGCAGAAAGCTCCTGGCAGGTTCCTGGCAGCCCTGAAGGTCAGCAGGGAGCCAGCAGCTCGGATCCTGGTTACTCTTTATTTCCTGAGCTTGGGGCTGATGTGGTGCTGAACTGCCAGCGCCTGCTGGCAAAATGCCCAGTGCATTGTCCTCTCCTCCCATCACATGAATGTGCAGCCACAGGAGCTCCATCCTCAGCTCACCCTGCCCTGCCAGCTTTGTGGGGTGAGGTTGTTGTGGTACAAGTTTTTCATCCCCTCAAAGCCCACTTTGTCCCTTTGCTGAATTCCCGTGGTGCAGCAGTGCTGTTCACTGCTTCCACCAGTTCCCTGGGGGAAGATAGCCCCAGATGGTCACCAGCATCCTGTTTGGCTCCATGGGCAAGTCCAGCAAACCCTGAAAGGAGATGACAGGAGTGACATGTCTCTATCACCAAGAGATCCAGCTCTGCAGTAAATCCATGCAATCAATTCTCTGATTTGCACCAGCTGAGGATCTGGCACTTTGTTTTGCTGTTGCTCTACCAAAATGCTGGTAGAAATAATCCTTTTATCTCTGCTGTCTGTGAGAACTGAGAAACTAATGCTGCTTTTCCTGCAGTACCCATCTGGAGGGGGAGTATCACACAAGATCACATTTTAACTGCTTCCTAGGTGGACCTTGGGATAGTGCTGCAAAAGGGGAGGGTGGAGGGTGAGACAGGCAGGAAGGATCTATCCATCTGCTTTCCCATGGAACACAGTGTTCTCTCCTCACCCAGAAGGGTTTGAAAGGGTGAGCAAAGGCAAAGTAAGGTTTATTTGGTTGGATGTGAGTTTGTCATCACTCACAAATGGCCTCACGCACACAGCCAGGATGGACTTCACTATGGATGCCCAGAAGTGGCAGCCATAGATGACAGTCAGTCCAATTTGTTTAATGTTCCTGTTCGATATTAGGAAAAAAAATCCTTCCCTGTGAGGGTGCTGAGGCCCTGGCACACACCTGACCAGAGAAGCTGGAAATGTCCAAGGCCAGGCTGTACAGGGATTGGAGCCATCTGATCCAGTGGAAGGTGTCCCTGCCTGTGGCATGATCAAGGTGAGTTTTAAGGTCCCTTCCAACCCAGGCCGTTCTCTGCTTCTGTGATTGTTACAGGCACAGAGCTTGTAGCAAATGCTTTGAATGGAGTTCACAGTTCTGAAAGAAGGAGCCAACAGTTTTCCAGTCTTCCTTTCTGTCCTCCTCCGTCACCTCCAGGCAGAGCAACACTGGCTTGCTCTGCCCTGTCACTCACCTCTCCTTGTTCTGCTTCCCACTCCAGGTGCTGTACCATGTCCAGGTAGGACACCGCCAGAATAACAAGCATCCCAAGACAGCCTCTCCCAGGCCTTGAGCTCGGGTGGCTTCTCTGCTTCCTGCAGCAGCTGGGTGAGGGAGAAGAGCTGGGATAGCCCCACGAATCCAGCCGCTGCCCGCAGCACCCCTAGGATGGATTCCAAAGGCAACGTCCGAAGCGGAAACAAACCCGATGCCAAGGCCGCCGGCTCCGGGAAGCCGGAAAAGCCCAACCCCGGGCCTGCCACGAATGCAGACAAGAAGGAGGCCCCCAAAGAGCAGCCTGCTCCTGCCACGGCCACCAAGAAGGCAGGAGGTGACGCCGCCATCGCCAACAACCACAGCAACCTGAAGCCCAGCGCCACCGGCACGGAGATGCAGGAGGCCAGCGGGCAGTCCCCTGACTCTGACCACAAGGGAAACAGCTCTGAGGAGTCCCCGGGCAGCTTCTTCGACAACATGAAGCCCTTGATCATCGTCGGAGGAGTGGCGGTGGCTGCGCTGGCTGTGATTGTGGGAGTGGCATTCCTAGCCCGGAAAAAATGAAGACCGAGAAGGGGTGGGGATGAGAAACCCAGCCCAGCTGTACAGCTCCTTTTGAGACAAATGCATGCAGAGAAATTCTATACATAGCTATATATATAGAGAGCGAGCTAGATAGGCCAACAACAAACACCAACTGCAACTCCAGGGTCTTGTTCAAGACGACTGTGCCAGTCTGACCCGCTGTGGGTAACTCCATGCACTCAGTGTGTTCTTTCATGTAATATATCTTGGCTTATACCGCTGTGTATAGATTACAGCTTCTCCTGATCGGTGTAAATGACGGTGTCCCCTCCCCTCCCCTGCTGTCCTCCCTGGGAGACACCCCCCCCTCCCCCCCCTTGCAGTCCCGTTTTCAAGTCCAAAGTGTTCTACGTCCCATTTGGAGTCCCAATTTGTGTTTTGGTTTCTGTTTGGTTCTGTTTTAACTTGGGCTGTGGTAAAGAAGATGGAAGGGGAGTGCTAAGGCCCGGCTCTCCTGTCATGCTGGGCTGGGGGTGTTTTTCCAGCCCCCTCCCAGGACAAGGGAAGCACAGGGGCAGTGGCAGGGAAGAGGCAGTTCCCTGACCCAACAGCCACGGGCGATCCCTAATTGGTGTCTGTGCATCTGCCCCTCATCATCCCACCTTGGAACACCCGCCTGGGAAGTGCTCCGGAGGAACCAGGGCGGCTGCGGCGTGGCAGAGCCCAGTGTGAGCCTGGGATGTCACATCAGGTCACTCCTCTGGCTGAGCTGCCAGCGGGACAGTGACCAGAGGGGCTGTGCTGTGGCCCAGAGAAGTCTCATTGCAGCCTTCAGGATCCCAGGGCTCACCAGGGTCACGTGGGCAGCGTTTGGAATAGAGAGACTTTGTTTTGGATCTAGTATTTCCTAAAGTTAGGCTGGGCTTTGCAGAGTGCTGTGAGCTCAGTCCAAGCTCCCTTGAGGTTGGCTGGACTATTTGGGTTCATTTTTTTGGGCTTTGGATAAGGCCTTTCACTGGATTTTTTTTCCCCACTGAAGGCTGTGGTCTCTCAGCACATGGGATGACAGGAAAAGGGGGAGACATGAGCTGGTGTTAGGGCAGAGAGCACCTGGGACCCCATGAGAATAACACTAACCTACCTGCTTTATACCAGGGAATCCCCTTCAAGGGCACTGGAGTCTGTCCTGGGTGGATTTCTTGCCTCCCTCTTGTGACAGTAGTAGCAGGGAATTGTAACTCGTCCACATTTTGGAAATGGAAACAAATTCCCAGCCCTCAGGAGCAGCCTGATTTCATGGGTGAGTACCTTGGCTCTAAAGCCAGACCTTGTGAGGGGGAGGAGAGAGGGTGTTTAGAGCTTTGGCCAGTGCTCAGCACTAAACAGCAAGGGGTGAGGAGCTCTGCCTCTGAAAGCTCCCATTAGGCTTCTGTTGGCTGCTGCAAAACAGTGTTACAAAAACCCCTTATGTTTTGGGTTGAAGTGGGATCAGAGGTTAGATGAGGTCCAGTGGGAGCTTGGCAGTGGCCACAGCCCATGGGCAGGGCAGGAGTGATGGATTAGAAAGGGGCTCTGACACAGCGGGGTGAGCTCTGTTACAGAGCCCATCGTGCACCTTTAACTGGGATGGATGGATGGATGGATGGATGGATGGATGGATGGATGGATGGATGGATGGATGGATGGATGGATGGATTCAGGGGCTGCAGGGATAGAGGGGGGTGTGCATTCATTCCTCAGGTGCTGCCTATGCAGTGTCTGCCTCTGGCACAGTCCCTGGATGGGATGGTGTGGGGGTATAACCTGACCTGGCAATTCTGCTCTTGGCTCAAGTCTGTCTTATTTACCTCCAAATCTGACCTGCTGAATGCACATGGTCTTGGAATGCATGGCTACTCCTGTGGTGAGCTCAGAAAATATTCCCAAAGGTGTGTGGCCTCTGGGAATGTCAGACACTATGTTCTGGTGCAGATGGAAGTTGATGCCTCCACCTTTGCCAGCAGAGAGACAGGAGCAGGCCTGTTGGGCTCGCAGGAGTTTTGGAAGCAGGGCTACAGCTCCAGGTGAGATCCTGGTAGCCTAAAACACTCTTGGCATGAGCTGTGGATGTGTTCCCAGCAGCAGTGTGTCACTAATGGCCTGGGGAAGGGTTAGAAGCAGGAGGGTTTTCCTCCCCTCTCAGCAGCACAACTTTGCAGGGAAATTTTCACAAGGAGTTTTGCTAACGTTGCTCAGAAGGAAGTCAACCCCTCCTGCTCTGGTTCATGTTTTGCCATGTAAGGTAGTGATTTTCAGATAGTGACTTCTGTTTTCAAGAGATGTTTCCACCTTTCCTGTCCCCTCCCTCCCTCTCAGCTCTGGCCTAGGATTGTTTTCAGCAGTGTGTGACATCAGGCACAGCATCTATCTATTCTGCCCTGACCAGCATAGATAGATCAGAGGAGGAAAGTGAAGCACCTGCTCCACTCGAATCTCTCTCTAAAATTTTAATCTTCTAAAATTTTAGAATTTTCCTTTCTAAAATGTTTTTATTTCCCTGTCTTCACCTTTGGCAACAGAACAGGGGAAAAACAGTTCTCAGCCAATGGCCTTAACCTTTTCTCCATCTCCAAACCCTGCCTGCCCTTAGAGCACTCGGATGCAAGGCCACCAATTTCATCCAGAAACCCCACAGAGGTGGTGATGGGGCTGCAGCTCCTCATCAGGCATGGCGCTCCCTGCTCGGCCAGCCTGGTATGTTCTGTTTGTCAGGGGTTTTTGAACGAGGTCTGTCCTGTTCCCAAGAGATTTCCCACTTACTGTGATCAGTCTGCTGTAGAGGTTCAGCACCTGGAACCCACCTCTTTGGCAGTGTGGTTTGGAAAACACCTGTCTGTGTGTGTGTGTGCCTTGAAGCACATCCTCTGTGTGTGTATGTGTGTGTGTACAAACCTCTGTGTTGCATTGCTGCAGTCTGGGAGGGGGAGAGAATCCAAGCTGGAGATGCCCCTTCCTTCGTTCCCTGCATTCACACCAAGTGTCCATGATGTCTTTTCTGTGCCATTCCCACCATGCCATGCAGCTCCTGAATTCCTTTCCAGTCCTGGTTTCTCCTCAGTGCAAGGGATGTCTGGCTGGTGAAGTGCTGAGTGTGTGGTGTGCTCGGAGCCCCGAGCCCCTGCTCCCCCCCAGGCAGTCCTTTGGGCTCTTTGCTTTAAAATGAGGCGCTTTTAGACTCTCCTGGACTGTGCTGTAGTGCTTTTCCAAGCGTGGCTCCAGTGTTGAGCCGGGCAGATCCAGCGTAGATGCCACAGCGCGCCGCAGCCCTGACTTGCAAACAGCTCCTGTCCTGCCTTCCTGTGCCAGGCTGTGCAGTGCTTTTGTTCTGAGCCAAAACTGTCCAGGGAGCAAATGCCCCTCTCTCAGCCCCAAAGCTGTGGAAGCAGAAGGCTTTAATGACTGACCTCGCTGTGCTAAATAAATAGTTGTCTTTTCTCGTACTGAGCACACGCCGTTATTTGCTTGATGTCCTTCTTTGTGTGGTTTTTGTGGTATGAAGTCCTTCCAGTGACATCTCCGTGGGGAGAGTGAATTAACACTTAAAACTAATCAGAGTCTGTGCTTGGGGTTTGAAGAGATCTAGATTGCTAGTTTACTCTTTTGATCAAGTCGATAAATTAAATATTGGCAAAACTGGTTTCAGACCTTTCAGCTTATCACCAAAACTCTCGATTGAATCACTGCACCCGATCTCAATCTCTTTTTAGGGAATCATAAATTTTAGTTGAATATAAAGATGTCATTTTGCTGTCTTGGACAACTCAGTAGAAGGTTTTTGCTGCTTCTATTTTAAGAGAGATGAAATGGATTATGCTTCTGCTTCCTCTTCCTACTGATTTAATACCCTGTAGATAAGTCCTGTTATTCCTAACAGTGCTGCAGCAGGATGAAAACAAATCTGGCAGCCAGGGGATTGTGCAGCAGCATTTTGGCAAGGGTAAGAATGCATTCCTGTTTGCCTGGGGCTCCCTTAAAGCGCTCAACAGTCACTTGCCCTGAAGCATTTCTTAGGGGGCTGGGTGATAAACTAAACATCCATTTGTGTCTCTGATGGACTAGAGTTTGAAGGCTGAGCCATAGAATACTAAAAGCAAGGGGAATTTTTCCACTGGCTTCACCATGCTTTGGCCTTTGAGTTCTTGTTGGCACCAGGGATATGATCACAGGTCATCATAAAATCATCTCAGTTGCAGATTTACTTTTCAATTGACACAAACGTTCCTTAGACTGAGCATAAGGGAAGTCTCTTCTCTGAGGCAGCCCTGCTTGTACTGGCATCAGGATTTGTGTATGAACAACAGCAGTGCAACCAAAAAGCCCCTGGAGCTGGTGAGAAATGATTTATGCCTTAAAATATTCCTTACTTTTTCTGGAAATGCTACTGGGGTTTAGAATTCAGCGGCCTTCTAACTATTCTTAGAATTGGTTGAAAATAACAGTGCTGAAGATTGAAGAGGAAAATGATTCTTTGAGAAGTAAACCAAAAAAGGAAGGCAATGAAAAAAATATGTTTGAAAGGTGAAATTATTGGAATTTCAATCAGCTCCATGGAAAGCTTCAATTTGGTGAAGATTCTGTGAGGGTGCAAGGAACAGAGCAGAGAAGTGGAGAGAAAAAGAACTATTTAATTATCTTAATAGCTTTGGTAAGGACATGCTAACTTTTATATCCTCTTCCCCCTTTTTCTTTCCTCAGGAGAAGGCAAAAATGACGAGCTCTGGTGCCATGCAAATTAACCTCTGCTAATTGCGTTTTCCAGATGATTTCCTGCTGTCTCTGAGCAATGTTAAAGGGTTAGAAAAATACCTGAACTCTTCTATAACCAACTTTGCATGATTCAGGGGAATTGCCAGGACATCAGGAGGGGCTGTGTTCTCTTTTCACGTTATGACAAGGACTGCAAATGCAGCCTGCTTGCACTTCCATCCTCCTGGTCCATCCTCCATGCTGGAGCAGGAATGCCAATTCCCTTCCCAGGCCTTGTTGTGGTGTCATACCCTTCACCACAAAGCTGGGAGAGGAAGAAGCATCACATGATGTTCATGAGCTGGCTGCAGTTCTGCTGCACAGGTTGAGCACTTCCCACCACAAAGAGGAATTGGCTTTGATCTGGAGCAAAGGTTCTGTATTCCAGTAAATTCTCCCTGCAGGACATTGGAATTGGGAATATTTCCTACTATTTACACTGGAGGTATTTCGTCCTTTACTCTTCTGGGGAGAAATCTGCTGATGCTGAG